CATTGCCCTGTACTGGTTAAAGATACAAAAGGGGAATTTTGCACTATTAAGCTACTTTGTTTGTGTCTTCAGATTAAGGTCCTCTGAGCCTCATCTGCAAAAGCAGATTAGATCCAGCTCATTAAGCAAAATGAGAAACCCATGTATTTTTCAAATGTTAAAACTTTTGTCTTTTCAAGTTGTAAAACCTTATAAAAATGCTAAAGTGTTTATTACTATCATCCCCTTCAATTACAAGTTCTTTAGAGGGCAAGAAAATAGCCTGGAGGGTGAACCTCTAATCCACTTCAGCATTGAACTCTCCACTGGCATTTCGGAGGTGCATTGCCAAGAGATTGCCCAGGAGAGCTTCAGGGAGGCCTGCGAACAGCTGCAGAGTGTGAGGTCCTGGAAACTGGAATTCCTGACTTCCAGGCTGAGTCAAGACGGCCCCACCTCCTCCCTTCAGGCAAATTACCTTTCCACACCTTCCCTCTCCGACTCTTCTTTCCTCTTCCCTTTCCCTTCCTTCAAACCAAATGCAAATCCTTAAGGGGCTGAAAATTGTTCAACCTTCAGTCATCTTGTCCCTTCCCCAGGTCTGTGGAAAAGCACCACTACCAGTAGCAATAGAATACTTGAGTTTTGTTTCTCTTACTGTTTCATTGATTCCCACTGTTAAACAGTATACTTATACTCCTACATTTTATAGTTTTAAAGATTTACAATCATGGGAGACAAGGTTTGCCCCTTTCAAGAGAGCTATCTTCTGGCCAATTTCTATAGGTTCTGCTCCTAAACATTTGTTCTTCCTTTTCACTGAGTCCTAATTCACTCTTGAAGACAAAGAACCAGGGAGTGAAGAAGGATCCGGTGACTTTGGGGTAGGGCTTGGTCCTCAATGGTCTCTTTCTTGGAGTCTCTTAACCTGAAAATCCTCTCAAAGTGAGATCACTCTCCGAAAGAAAAAATAAACAGAGCAATTCACCTAATGAAAATAACTAACTAGGTCTTTCACTGCTGCTTGTCCTGAAGAAGGGTTTATTTTAGGCCTCCACTCTCTTCGTCCCCTGCTTTTGTTCTATGTGCCTTTTAAAAATCAGGGATGAGGGGCCAATGAGATTGTACAAGGGTTAAATCACTTGCATTGCATGCAATGTACTCAAGTTCAGTTTCCAGGAGTGGTTCCTGAGCACCACTGGGTATGGCCCCAAACTAAAACAAAAACCGAAACTTAAGGAGTGACTTTCATATTCAGTACATCAATGTGGTATAGACTGATACACAATAGCACAGAGGGTAGGGCGTTTGCCTTGCATGCAGCTAACCCAGGTTCGATTCCTCTGCCCCTCTTGGAGAGCCCGGCAAGCTACCGAGAGTATTCCGCTCACATGGCAGAGCCTGACAAGCTTCCCATGGCATATTCGATATGCCAAAAACAGTAACAACAAGTCTCACAATGGAGACATTACTGGTGCCTGCTCGAGTAAATCGATGAACAATGGGAGGACAGTGCTACAGTGCATAATAACTGTGAAGATGTTGGTCTTAGTAACTCTGAACCAGAATTTGAAAATCAGTGACAACTAACTTCTGTAGGTTAGTCTATGTGGGTACAGAACATAACTGCTTTTAAATTCTTTTTGTTCTTTTCCCCATCTATTAAAATGGCAATGTTGGTACTTTATTGACTATACCAATATTCTTCAAAGGTGGTCTTAAAGTTATGATTTCTCATTTCACTTTAAAAGTTAGCTGAAGCCAATTATTTAAATGACTATTTCCCCCCTTCTGTTTCAATAATAAGTAGCTTCACACATGTGACTCATGTAATTCAAGCTGGTGCAGTAAGGTAGAAGAGACATTTTGATATATTATTGGGTAAATGTAAATTGCTTAGACTCAGAATCCCAAATTAAGATAAGCAAGACAGTGCTGGCGCCACTGAGGTGTACTCTGTAAGTAGCCTGGGGGAAGGTGAATTAAATAGTATTAGCCTATTGAAAGTGAAAGTGTAAGCAATTCTGCTTCATAGTTTCTAAAGGAATGTGTCCATATATCATAGAAAGCTTCAGAACTTTCATACATATAGGAAACCAATTTTATATCTTAGAAACTTAATTTATGGTAATTTCAGTAGCTTCAATCCAAAACTCATAAATCCAAAATGCTAAATGTTTAATAGTATGCAAGCGAAAAGAGATGAGTGTAAGATTACTTCCTTATAAAATTTAAGAGCAAGGGCAGGGTAGTGGTCGAGAAGGATAATAAAGATGACAAGCCTCTAAAAGTCTTTAATTCTATTAATTTTTTAAAAAAATTAACTCAAGCAGAGCTTGGATTAACAACCAAGTTTTCTGAATTGATGTCATTCAAATTTTACTTCAGGGTGAAGTAAAAATTAAATCAGATTAAGCACATCAAGGTTTTTTAGCATAGACACACCTAAATAATAAAATGTAGTAAACCCAAATTTGGTGTTTTGTTGAGCTAAAGCTGGAAATGTTAAAACTACTTAAACAAGTTAGTAAGGAATAGGAAACAAAGCCAAATAAATAAATGAAATTTAGGGGAGCCTGGGAATGGCTTAGAGACAAAAAGCATCCTACGTACAAGTGTGTGCTCATGAGTTTGATTCCTTGCACCAGTCACAAGCGCAGGACCCTGGCCCCAAACTCTACTGTTGAGCTGAATAGAGTGGTACTACTACAATAGAGTGGCTTGGACAAGAACCACAAAGATGTGTGAGCCCTACAGCTTAGAAAGCAACCTGCAAAGAGCATGTGTGAGCACCCCAGTGAGCACTAGAACAAAAGGTGAATATATGAGTCACTAATAATGCGCACACTCCAGCACCCAGCATCACAATCAAGTATGTCTTGATCCCTGGTCGTTACAGCAGCAGCATAGAAGGGAAGAGAGGAAGATGGGGAGAAAAGAAAAGTAATAATAGTATTCTGAGAGGGAAAGAAAGAACCTGACGGTTTTAACAACAAGGAAGCATCATGTAAAGATATTGGTACATTTTCCATTAACATCATTCTGGTTCTGCACGAGCCGACTGCGCCAGCTGCTATAGGGTTATGAGGTGTCAGATGTGATTCTCTGGGACAGTAACCACAGAGCAGACTTCTGCACTAAAGCATTTGTGACTCTTTCTGCCTGCTAAATTTTCATTAAAAACAATTGTGCTTTCCTTTTATGTCCTCAAAGGGTGTCCTTTTCTTTCTGGCTCAAACTACAATCCATGATCCCTGTGGATCTTTTAAAATCTGCCTCTCCGCTGATTTAGTGTACATCCGTTCCATTCTCTTTTCTGTAGTTGTAATTACTTGTTACCAAGTTGAAGTTCTCGCTTTTAAGATTAAAATTCAAAACATTCCTGTCCCTCAAGGAATCTTGAAATTTTTTCCATTTACCCCCTTTATTTCCACCCTTACATTCAAATTTCCTTCCTTTTAAATTTCTTTGTTGCTTCTGGCTCTGTATTTTCTTTTATGCCATTCCTCACTCATATAACATGTTTATTATGCACCAGGTGTCTTCCATTGCCTGCTTAACATCCCTCGAAACTTTGTGTTTTCCCCAGGGAATCGCTATATATAATGGTTTTATTATCCAGGAAAGTTTGTGTTTATATGACAAATATCTGAATGTTTTATTACTTACAGAGAAAACATCCAGATGATTAACTTTTTCCATTTTTATCTAAACACTTTGTCTCTTTTAAGCAGGTCTCCATGTCCTTTATACTGAAAAGTGTTCTTTATAAATAGTAATCTGTTTCTTCTGGGTTTCTAATACTTGATATTTACGTGCTTTTATCAAGCATCCTTGCATTTTATCAATAGCCAGATGCCACAGCCTTACTTCTAAGTTTAACAAGTATAGTAAATGAAGAGTCATGGAAGAGTGATGTAGTTCTACAACAGTTTGAGCTCTTTCTGCTACTGCCATCTAGTGGGTATCCTCTCTAGATAAATTTTCCAGAAGTATTTTCTAGAAACTGCATACAAGCAAATTCCAATAGCAAGAATTATTTGAGAGAAAATAAGATGTCTCATTTCAAATTTATTGATATCAAATTTAGTAATACCTAGATTTATAAGTAAAAATATATTACCTTTTTCTTGGAAATAAAGCCCTCACAACTCCTAGTTGCAGATTTTAGGAGACACACTTCGATGCTGATACCTAGGGTTGTATAGCAGAGGTATTGAAGCTTTTCTGCATCAGAATGTATCTACCCTCCAACCACTGTACCAGGAACCAATGTTCCTAGTTATTCTTGCACCCACAGCCTCAAGAGTCTGAACAGAGAAATTCAAGAAAACAGAGGTGCGTGGGCTCCTGCAGAGAGCTAAAGCTGCTGCTGCATTAATAGATTCTAGACAAGATGAAGTGAAGGAAGAAAACTATTAGAACAGTATATGGCCTTTCTGTACATCTTCACATTTTGAGACAGCTAGGTAATAAAGAACTGTGTCCAGATCCCCTTCCTCCTGCATACAGTTGATACCTTGATTACTTTATTTAAAGAGATATTGAATTTGTACTCATTTGTAGGTTAACAATATGTCACCAGGGGCTGGAGCGATAGCACAGCAGTTACGGCGTCTGCCTTGCACGCGGCCAACCCGGGTTTGATTCCCAGCATCTGATATGGTTCCCTGAGTACTGCCAGGAGTCATTCCTGAGTTCAGAGACAGGAGTAACCCTGTGCATCACCAGGTGTGACTCAAAAAGAAAAAAAAAACCTGTCACCAGCATCTAGAATAACTCTTATTGGGAATGTAGTATTCAGAAAATATTTATGAAGTGAATGAATTTATCAAATAGAAAGCTTAAGTGATATTCTGAATAGATGAGGATTTAGTGAGGTCAGTGTCTATAATATAGAGCTTTGCACATACTCTTTTACATTTTTATATTGTTTTAATTTTATATTGTAATATTCTATATCACGTGAAAAATGATATTGATTTCAAAATCTGATCTTGTTTTGTATTCTTCCTTTGTAGGCCTTTTCCAAAACCCTTTGTGCCAATATAATCTGTACCGTTTATTTGTAATCTACCACCTTCCAGGAGTGGAGTTGCTTGATAGAAATGGTAAGAACCTCCCTTTCCCGAATAGAAATATTTAGCACTCAGTCTTACAGTCTGGTGATTTTCATATGCTGGATTTATCATTGAAAATAATTTTTTGTAAATGAAAGTATTTCAAGTATTCCTGAAGTTTTTGCTATACAAAATCTGCCCAAGATTAGCAATTCATGTCTCTTAATGACTTTATCGGAAAGGCTTAATCAAAGATGAGGAAAGATATACTTCTGTTACTGGTTTTAAATGAATATGTTGAATGTCGAAATATTTATACCCTCATATCTTAGCTTCTTGCTTCAAAAGTAAAAGAATTAAGCTACATCTTTTAAGACTTATTTAATATCTTAAAACTCTATGCTTTGACATTTTGTAAAGGTATATTAAATTTTACAACTTCTTTATTATTATATACATTATAGAAAACTATGTCTGATTTATATATCAGACACATAAAAATAAAACTTGTATGTTGTTTTCTATGTTTTTGTAGTTTATTTTAGTCCTATGTGTTTTAATGCCTATTTACTTAACCTTTCTATCGTACAGTTTTGAACATTCTTAACTTATTATTGAATAAGTTCTTAGGATGTATCAAAACCTGTGACAGCTTCCCTTCCTCACAGCCTTGAGGAAATAAAGGGCTTTGTCAGAGTTATTTCATTCTTCCATGATAATATTAGAAAGTATCTTGAATGCATTAGGGCTCATCTATGAGACTTTATATTGAACTCATAGGAAATGGAAATGACGGATTACACCTTTACAACTTCTAATTTTGCCAGTATGTTTGCCTATAGCACAGTTCAGAGAGATCTTTTTGAAAGTGCTAATTTCTATTTAAAATCATTTTTATGTCTATGATTCTACACATTAATATTTATTTCATTTATTTTTACATTCATTAGCAGTTACAGAAAAAGAAAGAAGATCAATAATCACTATTTTTAACCATGAAAAGGCACATATTATTCAATCAATAGCATTCAGAAGAAGAGTAGATGCCTCATGGGATCCCAGATCACCATTTAAGCAAAAGTCAGCTCGTAGAGTGCCTTCAGGTATTTTGAAAAATATAAAAAAATTAAAATTCCAAACTTCTGATTAATTTGATAATAAAAATAATAATTTCAATTTATAATAACCTAACTAGAAAGTATTTTAATTTTATTCATATAATTATAGTGAATAAGCAATTCTTTTCATTTGTGTGTATTTAATTAAAGTGGAAGTGATGTGATAATAGTGACACTGAATTCCTATGCCAGTATCTAGCATAGATGATGAACCAGTAAAAGAGCCACAGTTGTTGTAATTTCATGGGCAGTTTAATGACTATAGATTTTTCATAATATGTGACTCACACCCAAGGACAGCAGACACAAGGGCCAGGAATATTGCACCATAGTTGGAAGCCTTTCTTATGAGCTGGGGGAGAAGGCAGCTGGAATAGAGAAAGGACCACTAAGACAATGATGATTGGAGGAGTCGTTCAGGATGGGAGATGTGTGCTGAAGGTAAAGGACCAAACGTGATAACCTCTCAGTATCTATATTGGAAACTATAATGCCCAAAAGTAAAGAGAGAGTATGGAGGAAATTGTCTGCCATGGAGGCAGGGGGAGGATATTGTGGTGAAGAATGTACGCTGGTAGAAGGATGGGTGTCTGATCATCATATGACTAAAACTCAAACATGAAACCTTTGTAACTGTATCTCACAGTGATTCAATTAAAAAATGCTATTATAATAAAGAAAAAATAAGTAATAAAAAAAAGATTACCTGAAATTCCTACATACAGAGGGGCCTGATAAATAGTACAGTGGGTAAAGGTTTTGCTCTGCACACAGCTGACCTGGCACCCCAAGCCTTCCAAGAGTCATCCTTGAGTTGATAGGCAGAAGAAAGTCCTAACTCTACTGAGTCTGTCCTTCCCCCCCCAAAAAAAATGGTAGGGAGAAGAAGCACAATTAATATTTTGGCTTCATTTACACATGTGGTTATTACATGCGAGTTCAGTTTCTTAACTTCATCCTTCATAATGCTTTACGAATTTTAATTTAATTTCTTGTATGTTTGAATTAAATGTCTTTGTTCAAATTCACCTACAATGATTTAAGCAAATAGAGGTTTATTGTTCACATGTAATGGATTTACAAGGGTGTGGTGCTGAGAGTTAGTATAATGTTCAATAATTTCATCATTCTTCAAGAATGTTTATTTTTTATTTTGCTATAATATTTTAAGATTATAAAATAGCTGTTATACCACCAGGCATTAACATTGGAGGAAGGAGGTATAATAAAAAGTATTAAGACATCCCCCTCCATTCCCTTCCTAAACAGGAAGAAAAAAAAGTCATGATTCTGCCAAAGATACTAAATAGTTTTCTAAAAATTAAGGAGAAAACATTAAGTTGAAATGTTTAAGAATTATCTGAGGATGAAACATAGAAAAAGAATAATATTAACTATTAAGACAAGGAAATATGGAAAAGAGAAGATTCAACATAAGCTTAGTAATAATTCATGAAAGGAAAAGGTAGAAAATTAAGAAGATGATGTTTGGAGTTGTAATGGTGAATATATTCTAAAATTAATAAACACTATGAATTTCTAGGTTCACTAGACAAAATTAATATAGAAACATGAAAGACACACACTTAACAGGAAAAAAATCCTTTTTTCTATATCCCAGAGGCTGAGGGAGTCAAAAGGCTAGAAAAAATGGCTGGAGAGAATGCTTTTTTGCATTTGGGTTCCATCTCGGGCATTGCATGATCCCCAGCACCCCACCCCCCACTGCCAGCACCCATTGGGTGTGCTATTTCTCCCCACCCCCTGCCCTGACCAAAGTATTTTAATCCATAGTCTGCCTGGATATAGATAAGATTCATTTTCCTATGTTTATAATAAAACCAACAAAACCCATTATATGAGCTTTACTTTAGGAGAGGGTTCGTCAAAATGGTAACTTTAGTTCTGTTGTCAATGACTACTGGTTCATTGATCTATTTATTCATTCTGTCTGTCCATCAGTCATATACCTTTACATTATATACAAGTTAGATTGCTCAATATTTTTTTTCCTTCTGGCTAATTTTACTGCATAATCTCCTCAAGCTCCTTTCATTTTGTTGTCAATTGTAAAATTTCATCTTTTAATGAGCTCCTTATTAGAAAAATATATACATTTTCTTTGGACTATCATGATTGGACATAATGGCTACAACCACTCTTTTGCAATTGTAAGAAATGCCTCAGGGAATATTGTGGTAGGTAATGTTTCCATAGTTTTTGCAGAGATTCTCCACAATTGGATTGCTGAGTCGTATGCTAGCTGAAGTTTTAGTATTTTGATAGAGCTCTATTTCATTTTTCAAAATGATTGCACCCATTTGCATTTCCAACCATAGTGGAATTCTCCACACTCTTTTTTTGGGGGGGTCATACCTGGCGATGCACAGGGGTCACTCCTGGCTCTGCACTCAGGAACCATCCCTGGCAGTGCTCAGGGGACCATATGGGATGCTGGGAATTGAACCCGGTTCGGCCGTGTGCAAGGCAAATGCTCTACCCAATGTGCTATTGCTCTAGCCCTCTCCACACTCTTTAATGCTTGTTGTTCCTTTTGGCATAAATCATTCTCACAAAGTGTGAGGTGATAACTCATTGAAAATTGGAAATAAATGTCTTTCCATAAGTCTGCTAGCTATCTCTGCAGATCCTTTGGAAAAATAGGCAGAGTTGTATGAGTTTTCATATACCTTAGATATTAACTCTTCTGATATACGAATGTCCTCTCTGATTCAGTAGACTGTCTTTTTAGTCTGTTTATATTTTTGTTTCCTATATGAAAACTTTTCAACTTATAGTCCCAATTGTTTATCTTTGCTTGGTTTTCCTTGTGGTTGGGGTTCAGTCCTTCAAGATATCTTTAACATTAATGTCATGGAGGTTTTCCTCTATTTTATCTTTAAAATACTTAACAATTCAGTTATATCAAGATTTCAAATTCATTTTGAATTTATATGGGGTTAGGAAGTAGTCCATTTTCACTCCTTTGTTAGAAAATTTCCCTTTTCTGTTTATGGTCTTAGATCACTTAACACAAATTAGTATCAATAAATATGTGGTTTTATTTCTGGGCTTTGAACTCAGACTTTCATCATGTAGGGAGTCTTAAAGTTTACTATAAAGGAGGAGAAATCAGTGCCCAAATGATATATTGCAGCTGTTACTATAAACTAGTCCAATATTCTTTAGAAGATCTGATGATGACAAGAAAATATCCATCAACACATAAAATGTGAAATTATTCAAAATGGCAACTCGATTTGAAGTCTGTTCTATAGATCTATTTTTTTAAGTACAATTTTATTTAAATTTATTTAAGTACCAATTTTATTTATTTATTTATTTAAACCTAGTGTGTGTGTGCGTGCATACACACACACACACACACACACACACACACACACACTAGGTTTCTCAATTTTATTTTTTTTATTAGTGAAACACCATGAGGTACAGTTATAGACTTACAAATTTTTGTGCTTGGGTTTCAGTTATACAATGTTCAAGTACCCATCCCTCCACCAGCGCCCATCCTCCACCACCATGGGTCCCAGCATCCCTCCCACCCCTGCCCCCCATCCCACCCTGCCTCTGTGGAAGGGCATTCCCTTTTGTTCTCTCTCTCTCTCCTTTTGGGTCCTGTGGTTTGCAAGAGAGGCATTGAGTGGCAATCATGTTTGGTCTATAGTCTACTTTCAGCATGCTTCTCCCATACTGGAAGGATCCTCCCAACACCCTTTATTTGGTGCTCCCTTCTCTATCTGATCTACCTTTTCCCCTAGCATGTGTGGTTGGTCTCCAAGTCATGAAGCAAAATTCCTGGTACTAATCTCGGCCACTCCTGGGTGTTAGTCTCTCATTTTGTTACTTTATGTTCCCCAGATGAATGCAATCTTTCTGTGTCTATCCCGCTCTTTCTGACTCATTTCACTTAACATGATACTTTCCATGTAATACCACTTGTATGTAAATTTCATGACTTCATCTTTTCTAACAGCTATATAGTACTCCATTGTGTAAATGTACCAGAGTTTCTTTAACCAGTCATCTGTTCTTGGGCACTCAGGTTTTTTCCAGGCTACAGATCTATTTATATGCATGAACAGAGACAGAAGTATGAAGCTAGTCAGTAAAACCCTGAATAGAAAGTAAAAAGAATCTAAAAATGTTCAGAGAAGAATAAGCTATGGAAAATTTATTTAATATGGATTACTGTGTAGAGAATTATTCCTTGATGTGCTTTGAATATAAAAGTACATTATGGAATAGTTCACTAAATAATGACAATATCAGATCTTTGTCAGTAAACAAACTCTGTGTACGAGCGTGAGTATATATTTGTACACATATGGGTATATGGAGGCATAGAAACTTTTTTGTTTTGGGACAATAATTTGTGGTTCCTTGGCAGGGGATGTGGGTGGACGGTGCTATTCCAGGTTCTGGGCTAAGGTGTGGCTTTAACAGGGCTCATGGATCAACTCAGGGCCTCCTGCATGCAAAGCATGAACTCAGCTAATTAAACAATCTCTGGCCCCAAATGATACTCTTAAGAGTGATACTTTAGATAAAAGAAAATTTTTTCAGAAGATTTTACCTTTTGACAGTTTTCTGTGGTGTATAGTCATCAGCAAAGCAAAATGTGTGCTTTTTGTCATTACAAATTAAAAATCACGGTGCTGATCTTGACAGCATTTAGCCGAAGAGAAGGACTACATGGAGGGCGGGATCCACAGATCCTGAAGGAAAAAAAAAAAAAACAGGTTCCAAAAAGAGCCGAGATCATCGGGAAGTCCCAGATGGGGTAGGTACTGCATCCCGCCTCCCCCAGATGGAACCCCGGTGACCAGAAACCTCTACAAGCACAGCTCGAGTATGCGGGAACTAGGACTTTTCCTCAAAACCGCGCGGCCGCTTACGCGGCCGCGCGACATCTCTCTATATACAAAGTGATCCATGGGAAGTAAACCACCTAACGTTTCTCTCTGAAAAACATAGTTAAGCTTTGAGCATGGCCACAGCCCCAGAAACACAAGTACTTAATGCATAACCCAGCAGCTCGGAGCAGAAAAGTGAATGGGTTATGTGTTAACCCAGGCCATCAAGTCTGCCAGAGGGGAAAGGGTGTTGGTCCCTTCCACCCTCCTCCCTCTGGAAAGAAAGGTGGCGGCCACATGGGAGCCTTGTGGACAGCAGGTATGAGCCGGGGGTGTGGGGGCAAATAAAACCTCATGGGAAGGGGGGCGTTCTGGTCCATCCTTCACGCCCTACCAAGGCCACCAGTTGCCCCCCACGAGCGGCTCTACAGCACGGCCACAGCCCCAGAAGCACAAGGACTTAATGCAGAACCCAGCAGCTTGGAGCAGAAAAGTGAACGGACTATGCGTTAATCCAGGCCATCAAATCTGCTGGAGAGGAAAGGGTGTTGCCCCATTCGCCCTCTCCTCTCTGGAAAGAAAGATGGCGGCCACACGGGAGCCTTGTGGACAGCAGGCATGAGCCGGGGGAGCGGGAGCAACTAAAACCTCATGGGAAGGGGGCCGTTCCGGTCCATCCTTCACGCCCAACCGAGGTCACCAGTTGCCCCCCACGAACGGCTCTCCAGCACAGCCACAGCCCCAGAAGCACAAGGACTTAATGCAGAACCCAGCAGCTTGGAGCAGAAAAGTGAAAGGACTATGCGTTAATCCAGGCCATCTTGTCTGCCGGAGGGGAAAGGGTGTTGGTCCCTTCCGCCCTCCTCCCTCTGGAAAGAAAGGTGGCAGCCACATGGGAGCCTTGTGGACAGCGGGCATGAGCCGGGGGAGCGGGGGCGACTAAAACCTCATGGGAAGGGGGGCGTTCCGGTCCGTCCTTCACACCCTACCGAGGCCACCAGTTGCCCCCCACGAGCGGCTCTCCAGCACGGCCACAGCCCCAGAAGCACAAGGACTTAATGCAGAACCCAGCAGCTTGGAGCAGAAAAGTGAACGGACTATGCGTTAATCCAGGCCATCAAGTCTGCCAGAGGGGAAAGGGTGTTGCCCCATTCGCCCTCTCTTCTCTGGAAAGAAAGATGGCGGCCGCATGGGAGCCTTGTGGACAGCAGGTATGAGCCGGGGGTGTGGGGGCGACTAAAACCTCATGGGAAGGGGGGCGTTCCGGTCCGTCCTTCACGCCCTACCGAGGTCACCAGTTGCCCCCCGCGAGCGGCTCTCCAGCACGGCCACAGCCCCAGAAGCACAGGGACTTAATGCAGAACCCGGCAGCTTGGAGCAGAAAAGTGAAAGGACTATGCGTTAATCCAGGCCATCATGTCTGTCCGGAGGGGAAAGGGTGTTGCCCCAGTCGCCTTCTCCTCTCTGGAAAGAAAGATGGCGGCCGCATGCAAGCCTTGTGGACAGCAGGTATGAGCCGGGGGAGTGGGGGCGACTAAAACCTCATGGGAAGGGGGCGTTTCGGTCCGCCCTTCACGCCCTACCGAGGCCACCAGTTGCCCCCCACTAGCGGCTCTCCAGCACGGCCACGACTCCAGAGCACAGAAACCAATTTCTTAACTATCTGACTCTCAGTATAAATACTTCCAGGGTCAATAAGAAAAATAGCAGAAATCCAAAACCAACATTTAATTCTTGAACCCAGCTGTAGAAAGCAAATCACGTCACAATGCTTTTTCAGCATGTCTGATTTGGGGGGGGGGTAAACTCTAAATAATAGTGGTGAATCTTTTATTGAAACAATGAATCTAATCAAAGCAGATAGAGTGTTAACTAGAATTCATCTGCCCCACAGGGATTGGGAGGGGTGGGGGGTGGGGTTTTATTGGGGTTCTTCATGGTAAAAAAAAAAGTATTGGTAAAGGGAAATGTGTTTGATATTTGCATGACTGAGACCTAAACCTGAAAGCTTTGTAACCTTTCCCAAGGTGATTCAATAAATAAAAAAAAAAAAAAAAAGAAAAAAAAACCACGGTGCTTAAAACATTTTTTTCCTAAAAATGTAATCAGAGACAATAGGAGTGACTTGGATCAAGGCCTTGTGAAAGAATGTTGCCACAATCTCCCGTGTGACAGAGGCTGTGTGAGCTCTGCTATTAGTTGATTGGCAAGAATTGACATTGTGGGCTTTGGCCACCCAACTGGTGCTGGTGCATTTCATCTTCACTGGGCACTCTGGAGGAGAATAAACAAAGCAGTGACAATCTCTGGAAGATACCATAAGAAATCTGGGTTTTGAGGACAAGTCTTTGAGCTCCAAAGCTGGGGAAGATATAGATTCTTGTGATCAAAGATTTATTTGTTCTGTTTCTTTGAAATTTAATGCCAAGAATTCAAATAGTTTAAACTGTCCAAATACTAATCCTTATTTAATCTAGTAGTCCTTTCATAGGTGTATATGCCTAATTAAATCAGTTTCTGCACAAGAAGTTCAACCAGATTGATCAGGAATTTTTGAGAATGGTGTTCCTCAAAAATTTAAAGCAAACCTAAAGTACTGTGTCTAACAGAAACTTTCATCTTGTCATTAGGTATCAAGGCTTTTTTAAAAAATTAAATCACCATGAGATACACAGTTACAAGTTTTTCATGACTGGGTTTCAGTCATACAATATTCCAATATACTCATCCCTTCACCAGTGTACATTTTCACATTTCTCAGTTTCCTTCTTACCAACCTACCCACCTGTCCTTCCTCCTCTTTGGACTCAGTTCTTGTCCCGAGTGATCATTTTCAACTATCACAGTCATGCTGGTCCCTTCTCCATCCTAACTGTCAAGGTATTTTTGATGAAGCTAATTGCTTATCTAAATGATCATATTGAACTGCTCATCAAAGAAATTGAAAACCAGAGTTATGTTCTAAAGTTCCCATTTATTAGATTCGTCTATTGTTTTTAAATGTTGACAAACATTTGAAAAATACTAATTACACCTTTTTTCTTCAGGTTTTACATTCGGAAATAACCTAGACAAGTAAGTGGTTTTCAGAGTTTCATCTTATTGTCATCTTATATCATAACTATGGTGACACCTTAAATGATCTTATTTCCTATAACCTTAAATGAGTTTTTATGGACTTTTCAATTGATAATAATAATTGCTCTTTCTGTGATAAATTAATTTAAAACTATGTTCATATTTGACATATTTAGGTTTCCAGTATTATTGTTATTATAATCTAAAGGAAAGAGAAGGTCAACTTAATGTACAAAAAAAGTTAAGAAATTATTAGTGGGCTGAAGCAATAGTACAGCCGGTAGGATGCTTGCCTTGCATGTAGCTGACTGAGGTTAAATCCCCTGCATCCCATGAGGTCCCCTGAGGACCACCAGGAGTAATACCTGAGCATAGAGCCAGGAGTTAGCCCTGATAATAGCTGGGTATTGCCCCCAAACAAAATAAATTCCAAAAAAAATTACATATTACAAATAATATTCTTTATTTGGTGTTCCTCTAAGTAGGTTCTTCTAGCATTTTATGTTCAGTAGAATTAATCTTTTAAAAAATACTTTATTGAGCTATGCAAAAATTGGAGTTCTTGAATATTCATGAATTTACAAATCATCTTTCACTTTTAAATCTTGTCCTTTTGAATTCCCTATTGACAAATATTGGTCCTTGAGTATTTTTATGATCAGTTAGAGAAATCACTTTCTAATAAGATATGTTGAACTATTATGTAAAAATCAGTAGATATTTTTAGTAAACACTCATAAATAGTTTAATTATCAACATAGAGTTGAAAACATGTGGGCAAGAATATGAAACCTGAATTATAAATGTTACTAAACATTCAAGTTGCTCAATTTTTTAAATAATAGACATAATAAAATATTATTATTAATCCTAAGTTTCTTGTAATGCTCAAAATGATTTATTAGTGATATCATACTATAAATGGTATTTTAAAAAAGCGTGGCACTGACTCACTGAATAAAAAATTGTTTTTATCTGATTATTTTCTGATATCAGTACCATTTTTTCCAGAACTGTATTTGATGACCCAGAAGATGCTGTTTTTGTAAGGTCCCTTAAGAGATCAATCATGACTTTTACCTCCATGAACTGGAACACAGTCCCAACACGAGAGGAAAAGTACCAAGAAGAGAAAGGCACACAACCTTCTCAAATCCTCACAGTTACACTGCAATAACCACTGATATTTTCAGAAAATCTAGCCATTCTCTGTGTAGTAAATGTCTCTGTGGTTCAGCTTATGATATATTGTTACTGGAATCACTTACCTGTAAATTTAAAAAATAACAAAGAATTCCTACAGTCATGTTAAATTTTTAAAGTAAAACACTTTGTCTTTTTCGGTGATTGAGCTCAAACTCAAGCATTTTTTTTTTTAATTGCAATTCGGGTCCTGGGTTTCTTGGAAATGAGGGAATAAGCGGTCACTCAGGATGCATTACAGAGAGGAGGGTGTTTGAGGGCCTTGTTGTGGGGAGAACAGAGAGGCACAGAGAGGTGGCAGGAGTGGAGTATAGGCATCCTGCCCTGTGTCCCAGAATCCCTGCCCCTGCCACAGGGACTGTGCCCAGGTTAGTGGCATGGATCTGCCAAGTCAGGCTACAGGGGTCCAGTGCTCCTTCAGCGGAAGCACAGGTATCCAATACCCCTCTGGCCATCAAGCCAGGATGAGGTAGGTGTTGTAGGTCATGAAGGTCAGTTATGAGCACATAGCTCAGAAACACCTGGAGGCCATGAAACAGTGTCGGCTGAAGGTAAGGCCAGATCAGCTGCTGAGGGTGAAAATAAAACTCTCATATAGAAAAGTATGCAAAACCCAAAAGAATTGTTTAGGGGCTTAGAATGCCTGTTTTGCACGGTTCAAATCCCGGGTCTTCTGTGCGCTGAATGATTCTGTTTGCTCTGCTGTTTGAACCTGGCAGATCTGCTGCCTGTGATCCCAGAATCATAGATCATCTCTAGCTACTCACTAGAGCCAGATGTGTTTATACCCCACAGCAAAGGGGTGTGATCCTAGGAAAGTGTACCCTCTGACCAGGGAAGTTGGACCCCTGGAAAACACGTGTGTGAGCACTGCAAAGACCTCCAGCAAGCACCACAAGTATCACCTGTGTGCTTCAACTAAAGGTGTGATCCCTAGTGAGCATACCTGCAAGTATTCTGTGTACAAGAATGCAAACCAGTGAGCACAAGAATGTGAGCACCACGGCCTGCTATGTCACCCCAGAGAACATCACAGCTAGGTGTACATGAAAGTCCTGGACATTCTAAGAACAACAATGAAGTGAAGGTGCAAGGGAAGAATGAAGGGGGATGTATAGAAATCACAATTGTTCAGTTCAACAAATTTCTCCAAAATCGACTTGTTTGTGGAACTGACATTCCTCATAAGCCCTGTAACTGCACTGCATTCAGCCTGCTTCCTGGTTCCTCTTACCACACTTGTTACCTGTTACTAGTGCACTGCAAGAGTGATCACTCTCCTGATTTCTAAATTATAAATCAATGGTGTCTGTTTTTAGAAGGCAGGCAAATGGAATCACATAAGTGAAATCATTGTATATCTGGCTTCTCACACTTAACATTGCAAAAATTACATTCTGGGCAATAGCAATGACTTCGATTCTCATGACTGTGTAGGATTACATCAAAATGACTATAAGCCATTTGTTGGTTGACACTTTGGTTAAGGATGGACCAAATGTATGATGGATGTTCATCCTTAAGTACAGTATAGGAATGCACTGAACTGTTACATCACTGTTTGTGTAAGTATTCAGTAAGAATTCACACAATGTTCTCATAATGACAAAACCGCCTAACAACGCATTTCTCAGAATGTCACCTCATTGTTAAGTGACTGCACTACAGTTTATTTATGCAGTTTATTGGATATTTATTCTTGCATTTGGAGGCTTTTGCTGGTTCTGGTGTGGACTAATGATCTGATCTTGGCCTAGCCAGCAGCTTGTTGCTATGGAAAAGAAAACAGAAAAGCTTTTAGCTGTTGCCTGCTGCAGACAGAATTGGACATTTATAGAAACTCAATGCATTGCTAATTTCCCCCTGCTAAGTTAAAACGCCCGTTGTTTGTTCCTATCAGATGGAGCTTTCCCATAATCAGTGCAACAAACACAATGTACCATTGTAGAATCAGACCTACAATCAAAACCCAGAAATGAGAACCAAGAGCGACGCGCTACTACTGAGAATCCAGAAAATTCTTTTACCTGTGAGCACTGTAGGTTCTGCACACAGTATAAACTCATGTTTGCTTTTTTACCAAAATCTGGTTCTCCAAAAAGGTTGCAGTCAGGGGGAAGAAAATAGAGATTATGACGATATCATGGGTGAGTGGCTGGCACCACAGCAAAAACAATGAAATGAGGCTTCCAATACCCCATTATAGCATCAAAATGTATGTTTCCAATGCTCTGTCCCATGTCACCTCCTGCAGGAAGATAGGTGCCCTGTTGTAAAGATATTTTTAAATGGATCTATTACCAAAGAACTGAGAATGCTTTTCAAAGGCCATCTATTAGACCCTTTGGACTCATGCTTTCAGAAAATTGTAGAAATCAAAGTATGTGAATATAAAAATTTTTTAAATGAAAAAAAAAAAGAAAATTGTTGCTAACAGAAAGCTGCTTCAAACCCTCCCAAGAAACTTGAGGCCAGAGCCACTCGGTTGAACTGCTGCTGTGTTTTTGGTGGCAGAACTGGATAAGACAATGCTTATGGATGCTTCAAGCTGTTAAGTCTGGAAAAGCATTACAGGTCTAGAAAACTAACATGATAATCCTGATAATATAGGATCCTAGGTATAGTTGTGAGAGGTAAGGGTACCTTGTGAAGTCTGACAAGTTCTGAAAGAGTCACAATACCCTTTTTGAGAGTTCTTGAATGAAGCTGCATGTGAAGACAATGAGTTTTTATTTTTTCAGTGTTCTTGGTATATTCATCCAGGTACTGAAAGCTTTACCACTGATTGTCAACAAACTCTTTGACTGAAGCCAGGTACAATGTGAGCGAGGTACAATCTGACCCACCAAACAATATGGGCAGGTTTTACAAAATTCCATTTTCTGATAGAAGTGGTAGATTTGGGATCAGAATTAAGTTGGCTGATAAGTTGCATATGCAGCATAAATTTTTGTTGAGTTTGCTGTTAAGTATGAGATGTTTATAGAAGTTAAAAACTAACAAAAATCCATAGTTTCTTATCTTTTTTTCATCCCCCAAAAGTGAATTACAAAAATGTAGCTAGGAAATTTTGCAGGATCTCCTTTTTCGAGAATAAGGGAAAGATATCTTATTATTCAGTACTTAATTTTTCTGTAACTGTTTCCATTTTGTGACATCTTCAGCTACAAGTCTAGAATATAGCCTGGATCCTGAGGTCCCTATAGGTTGTTTGAATTTTCTTTTTATTTTTTTTATGTAGGAGTACTGCTATTTATTCAGCCACTGATTAGCTGATTGAATTGTGCATGAAGTCCACCTTACTTTTTTTTTCATTTTTTATAATTTTATTTATTGAATAACCATGAGAGCAGTTACAAAGCTTTTGGGTTTAAGTCTTGGTCATACAATGAAACACCCGTACCTTCACCAGTGCCCATTCTCCACCCCCAACAACCCCAGCATACCCCCACACCCTCCTCCTACCTGTGGGGCAGATGATTTCCACATTACTCTCTCTCTACTTTGATCACATTCAATATTTTGACACCAGACCCACCATTATTATTTGAGATTTTACCCCAACACTCATATCTGCTGAAAAGGCAACCGTAGACAATTTGTTATCTATAGCTGGTTATGAATAACATATGATGTTGCGTGGCTGCAGTAATGGCCACGCAATTTTGAAATTCCGAAATTTTAACACTTAAATCTGGAGGGATTTCTGCCAAAACCTGATGGGTTCCGAGATTTGCTCCTGAGTCTATGGGATCATGGCCATTAAGCAGCTTGATCAGGAGCCAGAAAAGCTGTTTGTGGGCGATGATTTGGGGTCTCATTGGGGTGGGGAGGACAGGCCCGACTCCACCCCCATCCCGTAAGGCTCAAAAAGTCTCGTCACTGTGAGCCCAAACCTGACTGTCCAATGGCCTCTGGAGGATGATGGCCACCGAGTCACCAAGGGGGAGCAGGTGGAGGGACAGCACCCTTTCCCCCCTGGGGTGGCCCGGCGACAGTAACCTACTGCGGGGTTCAGACACATTTCTGCCAAAAGCTAGTGGGTTTCAAAATTTGTTCTGTGTCTCTGGGATCATGGCCGTTAACAGCTTGATCAGGAGCCAGAGAAGCCATTTGTGGGCGATGACTTAGGGTCTTGTTGGGGTGAGGAGGCCAGGACCAGCTCCACCCCCATCCTATGAGGCCCTGCATGTCTCATCACTGCGGGCCCAAATGTGACTGTCCAGTGGCCTCTGGAGGATGGCGGCCACTGGGCTGCCAAGGGAAACAGGCCAAGGCATGAAACCTATTCCCACCTGGGTGGGCCCAGCACCGGTAACCTACTGCAGGGACTGGACGCATTTCTACCAAAAGCCGCTGGGTTTCGAGATTTGTTTCTGAGTCTCTGGGATCTTCAACATTAAGCAGTTCAATCAGGAACCAGAGAGGCCATGCCTCCAATTATATAGCTGAGCTGGAGGTGGTTTGTGGGTGTGTTTCCCACATATCTAACTTTTGGCTGTTTACTTTCTTGGTAAACTTTGCCCCAAGTTTTTGGGGTCTGGCCAAAGGCACAGCAGCAATTTTGGGGTATCTGGAAGTCTGAAGGCACCATCAGGCTGCTGATGCACACGCCTCACAGGTACAGATTGACCTGCTGGTGGCACCATACCCGCGGTTGTTTGAATTTTCAACTTGGTTGTCTTACGTTTTATTTATAGAATATAAACATTTTAATTTTACTTAGTGGAAGAAATACAGGAAAGTTTGTTTACTCCATCTTCTCTGTAGCAGTCATATTCAGATTAATTTTTAAACATAACTGAGTATCTTTTCTTCCATGTTTTCTGTATTTAATGTATCTAGGATGGCCTCCTTCATATCAGTCATTAAGAATTCCCTGAATAATATAATCTTAAGTATTTGTATATGCATGCACAATGGTATATTATTGGGTAAGGTAAGGTAAAGGTAAGGTAAAGGCCCTCCCGTTGATCGTCGATTTGCTCGAGCGGGCCCAGTAACGTCTCCATTGGAGACTTTGTTGTTACTGTGTCTGGCATATCGAATACTCTCGGCAGCTTGCCGGGCTCTCCGAGAGGGGCGGAGGAATCGAACTCGGGTCGGCCATGTTGGCCGCATGTAAGGCGAACGCCCTACCCGCTGTGCTATCGCTCCAGCCCATATTATTGGGAAAGTTCTTTATTTTAAAATATAAATTTATAAATGATATATATATACTTGTCACAGACTGAAAAACAAGTCATGCTAAAATTATTATAGTCAAAATGGTCATATTCTGATTAATAATTAAATAGCTTATAATCAGTTACATCACTGGTATTAAGATAATGTGTTACTAAAAGATTCAATTGGAAGGAAAAGATGAGTCTTGTATGTGAGATAATTTCTTCATTACAGATAAACAATAAAAAAATTTACTCATTGATCTGTGCTTTGCTTTGGGGGAGAAAAGCACAAATAACATCATTTTTCAATAAATAAATTTTAGTATTTAGTTGTGGTTAAAATAGGAACAAAATAATAAAAATAAAAAACTTTTCTTCTTTAAAAAAGAATTATCTCAAGATTTATTCTGGGACTGATTTTTTTTTCACATTCTAATCTTATGAATTAATGATGAGTTTTGACTCATCCTGGGATTAAATTGATATGTATGAGTTTGAATTAGCTATCTACATTTTGTACAAATTGTCGATTTTGTAGCTAAACTAGCAACGATGACCTATTCTAAGAGGATATCTTCATCTACTTGTGAAATTAGAACGCTATTCTTTCATTTATTTATTTTTGCTTTTTGTGTCACACCCGGCGATGCACAGGTGTAACTCCAGGCTCTGCAGTCAGGAATTACTCCTGGCAGTGCTCAGGGGACCATATGGGATGCTGGGAATCAAACCCAGGTCAGCCACGTGCAAGGCAAATGCCCTACTCGCTGTGCTATCACTCCAGCTCCTAGACTGTTATTCTTAAAAGATAAGAAAGACTAGCTCCATGAGCTGGTCCAGGGAGCTATCTTTTGTAGAAAAACAAGCTTATAAAGTAATTACGAGAAAAATAAAGTTGCTTGCTTTTGCCAATGCAAATGTTCAATATTTAATATCACCATGGCCAATACCAATATACACTAATTCCTATATAGTTAGGGCTTTTTTCATTCCTATATAGTTAAGTTTTTGCTGTTGTTGTTGTTTTGGAGTGGGAGTCATATACAGAGATGCTCAGGGGTAACTCCTGGCTCTGTAGTCAGAAATCCTTATTTCTGGCAGTACTCAAGATGGAATGCTGGAGATCAAATCTTGGGTTGGCCACACGCAAGGTAAGTGCCTACCCAATGTGCTATATCTTCAGCCCTAATCTCTATACAGTTTCAAGCAAATAAACATATTTTAAAATGTAGAAAGATGCGAAAACCTATTTTTCCAATTAAAATAGTAACTACAATCAAATTCAAATCTTGAGCCCTCATAGTCTTTTTCCTAAGAACACATAAAACCTCCCATTTTTTCATTACATGCCATTATTATATATGCATTTCACCTTTTAGAAAGATACTGAATTACTATTGGTTTTATATATTCAACTTCTGAAATTTAGCCCCATTTACTTGCTAGTTGTAAAAAAGATGTACTACTAATAAAGATTCTTTGGTTCTGATTTATAGAACCTAAGCAAAAAAAACGTAATTGTGGGAAAAGGTGGCCTGGGGCTATTATACCATTTCCCAAAGATAAATGTGTAAGAGTACCTAGCGACAAGGAACCTTGATGTCTGAAGGCTTACCATCATTTCTAAATTCAGAAAAAATCTGCTGACTAAACTTTCTGTGTAGTTAACCTTTACCATTGAATTCACTCACAGGAAATAGATATAGAACCTGCAGAAGACGTTTTGTGTTAGGGCTGACAGAGATGTAAAAAAGTTGAAGGATGTAGCAAACCAACAAGTAAAAGAGTTTTATCAGTGAAGTGAGATGAGAATTCTTATGATATTATTTGCAATAATACATATTAAACTGAAAACATTATTACTCTTCTCCAAAATTAGCTGTGTGTGTGTATGTGGGGGTGGGGGGGTAGGCTGAAAGGCATACCTGGTGCTTGGGCCTTAATCCTGGCTCTGCACTCAGGGATCACATCTGGTGGGGTTTGGATGAGGATATATGGTACTAGGGATCAAACTGATCAACCCTCTGCAAGTCAAGCATCCTTTCTGCTATATTATTACTACCTTGCCCTTCCAAATTATCTACTTCTTAAATTATGTTGAGTTCTCTAATATTTTTTCATGCATTGGCAGTAATAAATTATGAAACCAGAAGTGAGTTTTTTTTTATTTTAACAGGCACAATTTATTTCAAAATTAAGACAAGAAATGAAACATAGTACTATCTTCATATATCACACTCTTGTGGTTTAAATACTGTATATTCTAAAATCTGATATCAGAACATTCTATAAATGATAGCTATAAACCATCTCTTGACAGGACAAAGAAGGTAGTCTTTCAAGTGAAATAATGGCACATGAATTAGTTTCACAATAGTTGTAGACACTATATATTTAGTTATTATTTAATAAAAAATTATATAAACTGTTTTTTTTGGTGCTCAGGGCCTCACAATCAAGGAATGTATTCCAATGCTGAGCCATTTCTTGGGTCTCCATCAAACTTCAGTTTTCAACTGCACATGCTGCAGTAACTCTGCTTATACCTAGTGCCTTGTAAGGGATTTGACATTACTAAAGGTACAAACACTGTAGATAAAACATCACTGTGGGAAGTACATAGAGTTCAGGTTGCTCCGAATAATTTCTACAAAAACTATAATTAGCTGCTGAACTTTGACAGATCCTTTAGCACAAAGCCTTTGTTTTACTGCATCCTAGTGAGTAGAATTTTACTACCTGTGAATGCTATTATTTATATGACTTTTATCACATCTAAGTGAGAATTCTTTCAACTACCCATTTCTGTGGCTATAAATTTTCCCCCTTTTAAAAAGTTTTTCTCCTATACTTGTTCCCCCCCCCCCCTTTCTTCCCTAGAGCCCATATTTCTATCTTTCTTTTTTCCAAGATTTGTTTTCCTTTCGGAGCAATTGCTGGGAAACAGGCTCCAGAAAGGGAACAGAAAAAGACTTCTCCTGTGCTTTGAAATGAAAATACTTCTCTAGGAATTTCTGTTCAGTTACAGCAAAGAAATCAATAGGAAATTAGGACATGGTATACTGAGCTTTTGCTTTGCCTGAAAGCATCTACTCTATGAAATGTGGAATTCTGCCAGGGTGCCATGCAAAGGCACTTGACAATGAGAACACAGTCACATTGCATTTTCCAGCTACCTGCCACGAGGACATCCATGCTGGATCTTGTGCCTGCTTTTACTCCTCAGATGCCTGTGGATCTATAGGAGTATTCTCGAGGTTTTCCGTCACAGCCAGATTCTGAAGAGATTCTTCCAATCCTCCCACGGAATCTTTGGGATTGGAATCCTCTTGGGAGACTGTTCTTTCAGCGTCTGGTTGTTCTTCATTGACACAATTGGAATTGACATCAAGTTTGCTATCTGATAAAAGGGAAAAAAAATCATTTTGTTCTTGCCATTTGCAAAGTACTCTCCAAAGACTTTCTGTGAATTAAGTCTCACAACAGCTGAAGGAAGGAGATTCTCCTCTCAAGTAGCAGTCTTACCAATCTTTTGAGAATAAGGCTATGGAAAGAGAGAGCTTTGGTAGCTTGCTTGAAATTTACAGTTAGTAAAGGAGCAGAACAGGCAGTTGAACTCAGTTCTGGGGCTCTAAAGTCAGCCTTAAAGCAGGATCATAGTGTGGACTCTAACAAAATTGGCATTCAAATACAACTTTGTCATTGCATAGCTTGATGTACTGAGGTAGGTAACTGCCCAACCAAAATTGTTACTTACTTTACTATGAATTAGGGATAACATAAGCCTATTTTCCATCTGTGAGAATAAAAATGTTTGTAATATTTTAGAATTATGTGTGACATGGGCATACCAACCAGGTCATTTTCCTTTTCACTGATAGTCATCCTAGCTCACATGGTTTGTTTAATACACAACCAGCTATCATTCTCTGTCTTTAACTCAGAAGATACAAAAGTTTGGTCCAGAAAAAAACAGATGGCATAAGGCATAAAACTTCAGAAAGTGTTATAACTATTCCTAGTCAATTTATACAAATTAAATTTAATTCTGTACAAGCCTAATTTCATAAAAGTTAATTCTATCAATATAGTATTTCTCAGATGAGATCAGGCGCGTTCAGGGTGGTATGGCTGTAGAGCACAGCGGTAGGGCATTTGCCTTGCATGCAGCCAACATGGCCAACCCGAGTTCGATTCCTCCGCCCCTCTCAGAGAGCCCAGCAAGCTACCAAGAGTATCTTGCCCGCACGGCAAAGCCTGGCAAGCTACCCGTGATGTATTCGATATGCCAAACACAGTAACAACAAAGTCTCCAATGGAGACGTTACTGGGCCCGCTGGAGCAAATCGATGAACAACGGGAGGACTGTGACCATGAGAGTTATTTCTCAACAAAGGAGTAAAAAAAAAAAAAAGGTCCTTAGAGAGATGAAGTTGTGTGATTCATAATATCAGTTATTTGGGAAACCTTTTCAAACTACACACAACTACCCCAGGGTTGGGGAGGAGTTGGCATTGTTGGGGTGCCTCCTGAATCATTGGTAAATTTATCTTTGGTTCTGATAAAAAAGCATACCTCATTTAATATGGAACTACTAGTCCTACTCTTAAAAAAATTTTAGTTGTATGTTAACCCTGCAACTTATAAACTTACTAGGTAATATTATTTAGAAGTTTATAAGGTAATTACAAAATTCGAAGACTTCCATCTTTAAAATCTTTGGGGAGACATTAAGCACAATTTCATTGTTTTCCTATCTTAAAGGCCTTAAATTTCTTAGTGAACTGAAGTAATTACTCACTGGTTATGAGTCTGATCATTTTAGGGCAGTCCTTGAGTCAGAATGTAGAATACACTAAATTTCTCAAAATAGTTTCTCTTTGCTTTCCAGGGACTTCTAAGATGTCCACATTTAATACACATCCTAACAACTCAGAGTAGGGTCATGCTTTCAGTATGGTCATCATGTTGGTCAATGCCAAGTTTCCTTGGTGCTATGTGCACTAAGTTAACATCATCAATCATTTCTCTGAGTAGCAGGGTGAGCTGGACTTATATATACATACTGTTCTCCTCGTCACTCTTTTCTTTGGCAGCCTCTAGTTGTTGCTTCTCATAAATGTCCTTGAGGTTCTTACAGATTTTCTTATGTGTAAACCAGTGTGTTTTCTGGCAGGTTTTATCACAATATATTACCTGAAAGCAATTATATATTTATTTTCATTCCATTGTATCATTTTAACTATACATTTAGCTTAAGTGTAATAACCTTCCAACTAGGACATTAAACCAAGAACCATGCACAAGAATATCAAGATTTCTATACCTTATTTCAACACCATGACATGTGGATGTGTATTAATTAGTATTTGCATTTTTTAGCTTATAGTTTAAAACATCAATGAATATGTAACAAATAGTTTACCAAAAACTCCACCAGTGGCATGTGGATGTATATTAATTAGTATTTGCATTTTTTAGCTTATAGTTTAAAACATCAGTGAATATATAACAAATTGTTTACCAAAAACTCCACCAATGAGGGGTATGGTGCCACCAGTAGGTCAATCTGTACCTGTGAGGTGAGTGCATCAGCAGCCTGATGGTACCTTCAGACTTCTAGATACCCCAAAATTGCTGCTATACCTTTGGCCAGACTCCAACAACTTGGGGCCAAGTTTACCAAGAAAGTAAATAGCCAAAAGTTAGGTATGTGGGAGACACACCCACAAAACACCTCCAGCTTAGCTATCTATTTGGAGGTAAGGCCTCCCTGGTTCCTGATCAAACAGCTTAATGGTCATGATCCCAGAGACTCAGAAACAAATCTTGGAACCCAGCGGCTTTTCGCAAAAATGCATCTAGCCTCTACAGTAGGTTACTGGCGCCAGGACACCCCAAGGGGAAAAGGGTGCTATCCTTCTGCCTGCTCCCTCCGGGAGGCTTGGTGCCCGTCATCTTCCATAAGCCATTTGCCAGTCAGGTTTAGGCCCGCAGTGATGAGACGCGTGGGGCCTCATGGGATGGGGGTGAAACCGGTCCTTTCCTTCCCGCCCCAACGAGACCCTGGGTCGCTGCCCACAAATGGCCTCTTTGGCTACTGACCAAGCTGCTTAATGGCCATGATCCCAGAGCCTCAAATCTTGGAATCCTGCAGGTTTTGGCAGAAATCCTCCAGATTTAATTGTTAAAATTTTAGAATTCCAAAATCGTGTGGTCAGTACTGTGGCGACATGACATCATATGTTATCCATAAAGAACAATAGAAAACAAATTGTCTATGGTTGCCTTTTCGGCAGATTTGAGTGTTGGGGTAAAATCCCAAATAATAATAGTGGGTCTGGAGTCAAAATATTGAATGTAATCAAAGTAGACAGAGTAATGTGGAAATCATCTGTCCCACAGATAGGGAGTATACTGGGGTTTTTGGTGGTAGAAAATGGGCGCTGGTGAAGGCATGGGTGTTTCATCATTGTATGACCGAGACTTAAATCTGAAAGCTTTGTAACTGCTCTTACGGTGATTCAATAAATAAATTTATAAAAAAGAAAAAAAAAACTCCACCAATGACTTAGAAGTATATACTAAGTGCCAGCACAGGTACAGTAATGGCAAACACGAGAGAGGTCTCCCAGAGGAGGCCAGGATCAAGAAAGTTCAGAATGGGGCAGAGTGAGTGAATCATATATCTAACAATATGACTTATAACATAACAGATGATGTAATGGAGAGAGTCAGTAAAGCGATGGAAAAGAGCATTCCAAGTAATGCAGCAAAGGGACCTGGGACCAACCTAGAGCTCCCAATGTCCAATGATGGAACACCTGAGCAATAAATTAATAAATAATATAATTCTTTTTAAAAAAGAACATTCTGAGTAGAGGGAATACCTTGTACCAAAATGCAGCAACAGGACTACATCAAATTAAAAGGCTTCAGCAAAGCAAAAGAAATGCAGGCTCTAATAAAATAAAACTCTAGTGAATGGGAGAAAGTATCTACACACAATACATTAGGTAAAAGAATTGATATCCAAGATCTTATAAAGCACTCAACAAAACTCAACAACAACAGGAATTCAATGACTTACATCCACTGAACAGACACTTCCTCAAAGAAGACATTCAGATAGTCAATAGGCATATGAAAAAAGTGCTTATTGTCACTAATGCATTAAGCAAATGAAAAAATTTTAAAACATGACATATCATTTCTTGCCTGTTGTAATAAATGGCACATATCCAAAAGTCTAGAAATAGCCAATGTTGGCAGGGTTTGGAGAGAAAAGTACCCTCATTCACTGTTTGTGGGAATGTTGTCTGGTTCAGCCTCAATGGAAAGCAATATGAAGATCTCTCCAGAAAGTAAGAATAGAACTTGCATATGATCCACATACCACTTTTTAGTCTACATCCCAAACACAGAAATATCGATACGAACAGAGATATATACACCTATATTCATCACAGCACTTAGTACCACACAGGAGATATGAAAACAACCCAATGCCCAACTACAGATCAGTAGATCAAGAGGTTACTGGTATGTATTCACAGTGAAATACTACACAGCTCTAAGAAAGAACAACATCATACATTTTCAGGAACATGGATGTAACTAAAGGATAACAAGCTGAGTGAAGTCAGTCAGAAGGGAGATAGATACAGAATGATCTCTCCCATATGTGGGACTTAACAATATATAGCAAGGTAGCAACAAAGGGCCAAAGGAGAAGTGATCCATACTGAGTTGTTGTTGGTGGTGGCTGGGACTGAAAAGGGATTTGGGGGTTCTTGGAGGAGGAAGGGGGGTTACACAGGTGATAGGTGTGGTTATGTGAAATTATGTGTGTGAGAAACTATTATCAACAGCATTATAATTCACAGAATATCAATCAATAATTTTTTATACAAATAAATTCAACATTCAGAAAATAAATAATGCAGCAACAGGGACAAGAGAAATAGTCTAGCAGGTAGGAAGTTTGCCTGACATGCAGCTGGTTCAGGTTGATCCCCGGCATCCCATAAGTTCCCCCAAGTCTCCAGGAGTGATTCCTGAGTGCAATCAGGAGTAAGTGCTGAGTACCCCCAGGTTGTGGCCCAAAATGAACAAAATTGCATTAAGAGGAAATTGAATGACACACTTAAGGAGAGCAAAAGTTTGTGTAAATGGAGTTTAAACTTTTGATTACATGTCATGATTACATGATTACATGTCATGAATGATTACATGTCATGCCCTTGTACACAGTTTTAAAGATTTTCAGTACTGGCCCCAAATCTTTAATCTTTCCTGTATCCATTTAATTTTCTATGTGACTTCGAAGTTATTTTCACTTTGAAAATATCTATAAACTTGTCAAAGAAAACTATCAACTGGACCATGTTACTTGCTTATTTAGTAGAACAAAAAAATTAAGGACAGACATCAAGGACCTCAAGTGTCTCCTTGCATACTTTCACCTTTGCTGTCACCAGGAGAACATGATCAGCTTGGTTTATTGGTTCCAAGATAAGGAGAGACCTCTGGGGCAGAAGTGCCCCATTGGAGACCCATCATAATAATCATGGGAGAAATAACAAACAATTGCTTTAAGAACTGGACTTTGGAGTGTTTTCATCTTGTTTGTTTTTGGCATAAGCTCCAGGACTTACTCTTGGCTCAGTACTCAGGAGTTCAGGACTTACTCTTGGCTCAGTACTCAGGAGTCAGGAGAGACTGTATATAGTACCTGGGATTGAACCAGAACTGGGTATATGGAAGACAGGTGCCTTAACCCCTGTACTCTCTCTCTTGTCCTTTGGAGTGTTTTTATTTATAACTGTAATTAACCAATGCAGATGGTCTCATTTAATTCTCACAACTAAAGTCCATGTTCACACATAAAGGAACCAAAGTTTGAAGAAGTAATTAAAGGAGATGAAGCTGGAGAACAGATTCATTACAACAGATTGTAATGGGTTATGTATATATGCCAAAGAATTTAAATTTTAAAATCAGTAGAAAATCATCATCTCAAGGGCAGAACGAATACAGAGTTGCATATGTTAATATCTGAATGAGAGAAGAAACCCCTAATCAGAATGACATTTTATAATCTTGGCAGAAGTACATATGATAGCTCAGAAATTTGAAAGATTGGTGAAAATTAGAAGAAACTAGTCATTTTGTTTTGCTTTGCTTTATGGGGGGGTGTCACATCAGGCAGTGCTCAGTGGGTTGCTTCTGGCAGTGCTCAGGGGACCATTCAGTGACAAAGATCAAATATGAATCTCCCACATGCAAAGTACATGTTTCAGTCCTATGAGCTATCTTTGGCCCAATAAATTTGCACTTTTAAAAGAATTATGAAGACACTAGAAAAAGTTGACATCAGAAGATTTAAGGTTGTGTAATGATAAAGTTTCCTATCCTAAGTTCTTACATTGGCACCAGTCTCTATTTCCTATGAAGACCTCTTTTTCTTATTCTTTCATTTTCAGTCATTCATTCATTCATTTATTCATATTCTTTCATTGAAGTGTTTAGCAGAAAAGCTGGTAAAATTTGATAGTTTGGTAGAAGATAGGGCACAAAACTATATTTATCCTATAGTTGTTTTTTACAATTATTTAAAATTATTGAATAAAATACTTTAGAATTTGCTAGAAAACTGTATTAAATTCAACAACAATTTGGATGAAATTTAAACCAGAGGTAAGTGAACATAAAAGAACTTCATTCTTACCATTTTGCATACCGAGCATCTTTTACTTGCTCCCTTTTCTCCACAAGTGGTGCAAAATTCAACATCCACAAAACCCACCTGACCTGTGATGGCCTGGGTTAGCACAGAGAATGCGGTGGGATCAGAACCCTAGAGTAGGTATGAAGAGGAGAGAACATATTCTGAAATTACTAAGGAGAAACTATACATATGATACCCTCTGTCCAATGTTACATAGAAACAGACATGCAACAGAGAAGATCATTAAAATTTGAGATGACACAGACTTTCCTTATGTCAAAATGACAAATGTTTCGAGTAAATTCTCTTCTACACAGTATAAGCAAAGTCAGTCCAGGAACCAAATCTTCAAAGAGACAGAGCTGGCTCTATTCTACAATAAAAATATTTTTAAATTTATGAAGTCTTCAATAAGCTCACAAAGCTTTCAGCCACAGGACAGTAAACCTCACATGTTTTTTCTCAGAGAATCAACATCAAGATAATAGATCCACTCTGTAATACAATTTAGAAAGCATGTAAGGAATAATTAGCTATCTTAATTTTTAGAATTTTGGTACGTGTTTTCAGTTGTATTTAAAATGATTGTATGTGTATTCACAAATAAATGTCACAGTGATTTTTGAAATGCTTCAAGCCCTGTAATTAAAAAAAAAAACAGATGCAACTATATCAGGGTGTTTTTTTTTAAGTCTGAAAATAATTATTATTAGAGGAGAACTTAAAAGTTAGATTGGGCTGCTAAAGAGGATTTATTATGTAATCTACATAAAAACATAAAGGCAATTATTTTTCTAATTAAAACCTGATTGATTTGAGCCCAGCAAGCTACCGAGAGTATTCGATATGCCAGACACAGTAACAACAAAGTCTCCAATGGAGACGTTACTGGGCCCGCTCGAGCAAATTGACGATCAACGGGAGGGCCTTTACCTTTACCTTTAAAACCTGATAAGGATAAGAAAAATATAATATGGGTAACTAACTAGCTAACATATATTTTACCAGTTCTTTCTGACTTTTTCAAATTTCCAAGTAAAATGTTGCCGATTTTCAAAATTTAAATATTTGCATATTTTCTTCTAAGAATAGTTGTTCCAGACAGGGACATAATTTATGGACTGGAGCACATGCTTTCTTTTACTGTTTGTTTTGGGGCCATACCCTTTGTTGCTCAGGGCTCACTCCTGGCTTTGAACTCAAGGATCATATCTGGTGTGGCTCATGGGACCATATTGGATGCTAGGGATCAAATCTGGTTCAATCACATGTAAGGCAAGCACGCTACCCACTATACTATCTCTTCAGCACAGGAGCACAAGCTTTCTGTGTGGAAGTCTGCATTTAGTTCTCAGCATCACACAATCCCTTAGCACCACTGGGACTGACCACTATAAACTAAGCTGGGAATAGCCCCAGAGTACCACCACTGTGGCCCCAAAATCAATAAAACCTAAACCATTGTTTTGATATTATCTTACTGAGTGTATATATATAACTACCTTAAGAATATCCCTTAGATGTTGGGAAGATCCACCCAGGATGGGAAATGCAGGCTGAGAGTAGACTACAGACCGAGTATGATTGCCACTCAATTCATCTTTTGCAAACCACAGCACCCAAAAGGAGACAGAGAACAGAGAGGAGTGCCCTGCCATAGAGGCAGGGTGAGATGGGTGGCTGGGGTGTGGGAGGGATACTGGAATTAGTAGTGGTGGAGAATGGGTACTGGTGGAGGGATGGATACTCGATCATTGTATAACTGAAACCCAAGCACAAAAATTTGTAAGTCTACATACAACTGTACCTCATGGTGTTTCACTAATAAAAATTTTAAAAAATATATCCTTTAGAGGGGAAGAGATGCTAAGTGGGCAGGGAACTTGCCTTGCATGCATATGAGTTGGGTTCAATCCCTGGTACTCTATGTGGTCCCCCGAGACCTGCCAGGAATGATCCCTGAGCACAGAGCTAATATTACGTCTTGATTACAGCTAGGTGTGATCCCCAAATATACCTATCTATCTGTCTGTCTATCTGTCCGTCCATCTATCTGTCTGTTTATCTCTTAGGAATACCAGATAGTCAAGATAATAGAACCCAAAACTGTTAACAGAACTATGTTTACCAGTGGTGGTGGTTTGGAGGGACAATGTTGGAGGGTTGATGCTGATGATGAGGGAGAGATGTTGGGAGGGGAACCCAAGACAATGGATGGAAGAAGACACCTTGGTGGAGGGTTTGGTGTTGGAACATTTGCAAGAAACCTGCTATTAAAAATATTATAAATAACTGTACTTCCAATATTTATATCAAGTAGTGATAGTACAGTACGCAGGGCATTTGCCTTGCATGTGGCCAACCTGGGCGCAATCCCCTAAACACCACTAGATATAGTTCAAAAAACAAAAACAAAAAACAAAAGAAAATGTCAAGAAAAACATTCAAACATTTAAGAATTATGTTAAAAGTTACTTATTTGACACTGGTAGTGGGATTGGTGCTAAAAGATCATATGTCTAAAAATCAACTTTACAATCGGTAAGTGTGTAAGTCACAATTCCTTAATGAGAATTTGAAAACCTAATAAGAAAATGAGTGAGAAAAAATAAATTATTTCTGAGCTTGAAGACAGTACTGTGTTGAAGGTGCATGCCTTGCATGCAGCCCACCCCAGTATCACATTGTACCTGACCACTGCTGGGTGTAGGCCTGACAGGCCCTAAGTACTGTCAGGGTGGCCTGGTTAATCCTCGACACCACAGGACCTTCGGAGCACCTATTCCTCTGAACCTCGCATTGAGCCAACTACCTGACTGGCCATCACTCACTTCCCAGTGTCCCTGAGCTTCACTTGAGAGGCACCAGAAACCCCCAGAAATGTAACTCTAATTTTGAAACAGTCATGCTCCTTTCAAAAATAATGATGGGTTTCCTTTCATGTTGAAGTTTTTTTTATTTGTTTGTTTTAAATTTTATTTATTTTTATAAAGTTGTTCATGGTTTATCACATTCAATATTCCAACACAAATCCCACCATCAATGCACATTCATACCACCATTATTTCCAATTTTCTAGACCACCCCTCAAGCCTACCCCTATAGCAAGCTCTGAATAATTTATTTTATGTTGCTAAAAATGATCAAAAATATTTTCTTAGAAGGTGTGTGAATATTGTTTTATCTCACTCTGGAGCCATTAAGCTCTTGCAAACGAGATTACTAACATGTTACTGGTTAAACCTTGTGTCTTTATATTTTCTTAATTGAGATTGGTTGTCTTCTACTTTACATTCATACTAAGGTCTTGAAAAGACTCTTGGAATGAGGACAGTATAATGGTGGAAAAAAGTGTATGATACATTCATCTCATATATACTAGCTTGTTTTTTTAAGTAAATAGTTAAAAGCAAGATAGTTTTGATTCTTGTTTAGAGGACATGAGGAGAGAGAGAGGCAGAAGTGCATGTACAAGAGAGAGCTCAGTCTTCTCCAAAGTGGAAAACTCAAGCAAAGACAAAGAAATCCAAGCAAGATATGTGTCCCAGGGAGAACATGGGCATGAAGAGCAAGCCGATACTACATATTTGAGTTAATAATTTTATTGGGAAAAAAGTTCTGTGGCAGTTGTGCTCAAATGCTGCTATATATCAGAGAAATTAATAAAATTCAGTTTCCACACTCCCACCCCAAACCTCCTAACTTAGCAACACATAGTGCTGAGGAACCATAGCAGCATGGTCTTCTATATGCAAAGCAATTGCTCAACCCACTCAGCTATCTCCCTGGCCCCAAATCAATACTTTTAAGGATGTGATCTATTCACCTACATTATTACTAACATCTCTAGAGAAGTCTGAGTCATATTAAAGTTTGAGAATTGTTTATATTTAAAATTACAATAAAAAGTAACTTCTTTTTTTCCTTTAAGGTGGTGAGTATAAGATGTAACACTTTATCCCTAAGACATGAAAACATTTATACTTCTGTAAAGTAGTTACCTCAAAAAGATTGTTGATCCACAAATCAACAGAGTATGGTAAAGTCAACAGACTATAGAACAATCAATTTTTTGTTGCTCAAAAACATTTTCCCCACAAAAGTGTCGGAGACATGTTTAAAATCTTCCCCCAAAGGGGACTTTTGTGAAATTTAAAACAAACTAAATTTTCTTAAATGTAACTATAGTCAAAACTAAAGGATATTTTTTGGGCAGCGTAACTGTTAATTGCTTGGGGGGGGAGGTGGGCGAAGATGGTATAGCTCTGAACCTTTAAGGAACCTGTTGGGTAACAGGAGCTTCTATTTTGCAAAATTTTGCCTCTAATTCAGTAAGAATTTGGCTACCAGAACTCCTCCAGGGCAAGATATTTAGCCTGAAACAAAAAGGTTTCATTATGTATATTCTAAAAGGAGAGACATTAGTTGGTTGTCCAAAAGTCAAATTGCACAGTTAACTAGAGCAAATTTTTTCGGAGTACAATCTGTTATAAAGCTGATAGCAACATTCTTTATTCCTTTTGCATGGGCCTCAGACCTCCCACTGAGCTTTGTGACTGGCGATAACGGAGGTAGACACTGGGCGGAAGGAATCAAAACCTGCAGGAGGGCCCAGCACTGATAGAAAACACCCCAGGGGATCCTCACAGCAGGAGTTCCAGGAAAATGTTAGTAATGCTTCTGAGGTTAATGAACTTGCAGAATAATGAAGTCCATCAGGTAGTAAATGGTGGCTAACTGCTGAATTACAACCACAGGCATTATAGGTAAAGTTTTTCATTTATTCTGTCAACTTCCTCATGAACAGAAGAGTGATTTTGTTTAGAGCAGCAGTATTTAGACAAACCAAATGTCAGCCATTCCATAAAAGTTCGTGCTGCTGAGAGTGATGATATGGCTCAGGCAGTGAGGCTCTTGGGTGAACATATAACTGTGTTCCAGTTAGATACCCCTTTCCTCTTTCTTAGAGGAGCACTCAATCAGTCTGGGTCAGAGAAAATGAGTGGGGAAATCTATTCCTGAAAGTAGATTTTGCTTCAGGAGTAGAATTTGGGTAGATTATTTGGGGGCTGGAATATAGGGGATGTAGTATGTAGTCTCTCTAGTTCATTTTGAGCCACTCTGCCAGATCTGGTCTGCTTCCCTTTAGGCTTCTGAGTACATCTAAATAAATCCCTATCAATTTAATTTGTGTTTGTTTAAGCTTTAATATGTACAGCCAAACATTCATAACTGATCAACCACCCTCATAATTTGCTATCTTTAATCTTCCAAAAGCTTAAATACCAAACAGCCAAATATTTTTTGAAAGGTATAACTAAATATGTAAGACCTCAGAAAGCTCTCGTGCAGAACTCTGTGTAAATATTAGGAGATTATCTTCTTTGCTCAGATCATTCTTGTTTAGTTCATGGTTTTCAATAGGTAAAATCTCAGTTTATAAAGGAGTAGCTGGGAGCCATTTATAGCACTGATTTTTCATACTGAGGAAGTGTAAACAAGTATAATAGTCTACAGATGGCTGAGAATAACTGGAATAGCCAGAAGGAGAGACAAAGCTAGATATTTTTTGCCTAATAGACAATGGTTGATAAAGGATCTGAATATATAATATACATATTTTTTAAAAAAGCATGACTGATATAGATAAGGTGAACAGAAACCTATTCAAAATTGAGAAAGCAGGAGTATCTTATGAAATGTTACTTAAGCATCAAAAGGGCAATATGTAATTTATATAAAATATGCATGCCAGCACATGGCATTGTTAACTCACACTTGGATGCACCATCAAACAATGTCTGTACCTCCAGTGGCCCACACTTGACTTGACATTGGATATACTGCCCCAACAGAAATGGTTACTGTTGCCAAAATATCACATTACATATTACTTCAGTAGCACTCATTCCACAGAGTGGAATACTGTTAATGAATCCACCAGATTGCAAGAAGCATATAATGCAGAACAGCAAAACAATGTGTCTTTAAGCACCAGTTCACAGACCAGCATCTATGTTTTAAAATCATGTTAGATGCTTAAATTACTCATGAAAGATTACTAAAATATCTACAATTTATATATACTACATCATATACTACATCATAAAATATATTATTCGAAAGTGATTTCTCTAAATGTTCTTGAGTAAGAAGGATTTAAAACTAGAGACATTATATATAAAATAATTTACATTATTTTTATAGAATGTAAGAAAACTCACCTTTAGGTATTACAAAAATACATTAATTTGGTTTTACTTATAGAGTTAACATATTTACAATGAGTCTTACAATTTCAACAGGAGCAATGCTTCGCACCAGCTGCTGGAGGAGTGTAGCTTCACAGTAAGGGAATTTTCTGATACTTTCTCTAATGATCTTCTCTTGATACACTGGAAAACCATCAGACCCACGGCCTTTCAAAAGCCTGGAAGATTCATATTTTTTTAAGGTTAATGAATTAAATCCTTAAGCATTTCCTCTCAGCTAAACTCATGAATGTCTAGTTTATTTTTTGCTAGTTAAGAATTTTATTGTTTTGGGCGCTGGAGAGATAGCACAGCAGGTAGGGCATTTGCCTTGCATGCTGCCGGCACAGGTTCGATTCCCAGCATCCCATATGGTCTCCCAAGCACCGCCAGGAGTAATTCCTGAGTGCATGAGCCAGGAATAACCCCTGTGCATCAAAACAAACAAACAAACAATGAAAAGAATTTTATTGTTTTTTCATACCACGATGATCAATTCAATTCAAATTACTGGTCTACCTGCAAATTAGGTAAAATCTTTTTATTTTTTTTTTTTGCCTTTTTTTGTTTAGGAGCCCTGGCTGGACTTTATAAAAGTGATCAATGCCATAAAATACATTAAACATGGTATCAGATTAGCTAGTTGTTACCAAATTGGTTACTTGGACAAAGGATGAATTCTTACTTGTTTCTGACTTTGTTCACTTTTTTGAGTAAAACTAAGGGTATTTGCCTTGCAAGTGGCTGACCCGGGTTCTATCCAATTTACTTTTCTAATCCCTGGTAAGATTACAAAGTAACACAACTCCCCCAAATACAGTGACAGAGACATAGATGTGTCACAATGGATTCAAAGCTGCAACCTATGGCACAGCACACCTATCCTCAAATAAAAACTTGAGGTACCTTCTAAGCAGTATGATCTTGCATACACTGTTTAACCTCTCCAAACATTAGATTAATCATCACTTAGTAAATGGGGGGTGACAAAAGCACTGAAAAGAGTAAAGAACTGAACAGCTACCCGATGTAAGTATATGTTACTTCTTGTTTCTTAAAGACTAAATAATGGCTGCTAAATGTGTGATCATTAAATTCATAATGCTTTTATTATGAGATATTCATTTAAGTATATTTTATGCATCACATGATAATATTATATATACCATTTGATCAAAACGTCCAGTTTGTTTTCTCCATCTTTCACGAAGTTAATGCATTTCTGAAAGATACAACTGATGTAATGCATTTTCATAGCCAATACTTCATTCATGTCTCTTTGCTTCATACATTTTTCACAAATCAGATCCATCACTTTGTAGCATTTATTCAGAGCTGCCTCTTCTGCTAGCAGAGGATTCTCATTTATGAGCATCACGATCTAGAAGAAATTTCAGATAACTTAGACATTTTTGAATGAATTTTTCCATGTATAATATAAGCAATTTTTAGAACTGATTTGAAGAGATTACCCAATACAGTCTTTTCAGAGTCATTGTGTCTATGATGCTACTTCAAGTTAGAGTTCAAATTGCCATCAGTTATAAAACTAATATATAAAGAGAAAGACCATTAGCCTGAGGTGATAAGTACGACTAGCAGGGAAACTTGCCTTGCACATGACTGAGCCGAATTTGACCCTCAGCATCCCAAAAGGTCCCCTGAGCACAGCCAGGAGTAATTCCTGAGTACAGAGCCCACAGTAACCCTGATCATCACCAGGTGTGGCTGGCAAATAAGAGGGGAAAAGGGGGGGGGGGAGAGAGAGAGAGAGAGAGAGAGAGAGAAATATAGACAAACAGGCAGGCAGCGACAAAGACAGAGAGAGAGAGACCATGAAAATATGAAATCTCTCTTTTTGCTATTGTTGTTTGGGGGCTATATTCAGCAGTGCTCAGAGCTTACTTTAGGCTCTGCGCTCAGGGATCCTCTGGGATCCCAGGGATCAAACCTGGGTCAACTGCCTGCAAGGCAAATACCTTATTTACTGTATTATCACTCCAGCCCAAATTTTCTTGTCCTTTATATCAAAATCATCACATTATCTGACATCTAGTTACATCAGGTGTTCACTCAGAGTCATGCTTTTATTCTTTTCTAAAAGCAATTTTACTAGAGATGTGATGATATTCCTTTCACAAATACAGACTCCAATCGCTGAACAATCACTGATTTTAGTTAACATTATTGTGCTTTCGAATATCATGGCTAGAGGAACTAAAGTTCTCATTAAATCTTATTAATGATAAGAAAATGAGATTTCACAGAAAGAAGCCTAAAAATAAAAGATGAATTACTTTCCAATTAACTGCATTCTCTGTGGAAATTTTCCTAATATGCCTCTAATCTCCTATGGTAATGAGACTAGGTCAAAGAGGAAAGCAGAAATAGCCTTACTAGGACAAAAATTAGAGTATTTGGTGCATTATGAGTTACACATATCCCATTTATGCACAAATTAAGCTCAAATTTAGTATAATCAGGAATATTTTTGGTTGGCTTTGTTATAGAATAAGCTGCTTTTTATTGACTTACAAAGGGTAGTTACAAAAGGAGGTGGTGGCATGTTACTGCAGTGTATTTGGTGCTTCTCTTGCTCGAGACCTACACAGGTTCAATCTCTGGCATCCCATGTAGTCCCCCATGTCCCGCCAGGAGTGATCCCAGAGCACAGAGACAGGAATAATCCCTCAGTATCACTGGGTATGAACCTCCAAAAGAATTTCCGTGAGGACAAAACAAGTACATAAATATGTACATAACATGGACATAACTACATGACCAAAGCAGAAATGAGGAGCACTTATTAATCTAAGATGTTATAGCTAAATATCTATCTTAGATAATATGCTTTGGATTTTTGGGGGGAGTGGTTTTGGCCACACTTGGCAGTACTTAAGGCTTACTCCTCACTCTGTACTCAAGGATCACTCCTGATTGTGCCCAGGGACCCATATGCTGTACCAAGATTCAAACCAGGTCAGCCAAGTGCAAGGCAAGCACTTTAATCTCTGTACTATTTTTCTGGTAATATGAATATTTAGGAACAACAGGTAACACATTTCATGAATTAGTTCCTCTTCTTAAGTATGAGGAAAGAAAATTTCTTAACTTAATAAAATACATGCCTGACATTCTACTGAGAAATTCAATGTTGGTCAAATGTTATCAAAATATTACTTATATTATTTTTGATGCTGCCAGACTAATACATAACCTAGAGTTGTACTTAAAATATAGCACTTAATAACAAATTATTAGACTATATAATAAAGCTCCTCACATGTAAGCTTGCTGAGATAAGTCATAACTTTCTCTTCCATGACATATCAAAAATTTACTCAAGGACTAGGTATGACCCCCAAACAAAAACAAATTAACTTGTAATAGATTTTTTTTGGGGGGTGGGTGCTCAGAGATGACTCCTGGCTCTGACCTCAGGGATCATTCCTTTTGGGCTCAGAAGATCACATGAAGTGCTGGAGATCAAAGTGGGGTTATCTGTGTGCAAGGCAAGCACCTGATTGTTGGATTCTCCCTGGGTCCAAGATTATGTGCTTCTATTGTTAACTACAATCATTTAAAGCTGTTTTCTCCTTATTAAATATATATAATTTTTAATCAAAGCATAGGAGCTTAACCTTAAAAGTAAGAATTCTTTTCAAAAACTCAAATAGGGGGCTGGAGCTATCGGACAGTGGGTAGGGCGTTTGCCTTGCATGCAGCTCACCAGGGTTCAATTCCCAGCATCCCATATGGTCTCCCAAGCACTGCCAGGAGTAATTCTTGAGTGCAAAGCAAGGAGTAACCCTTGTGCATTGCTGGATTTTTTGGGTGTGACCCCCCCAAAAAAGAACCTCAAATAGAACCCAGATCGTAGAATACACAAATGTCACTTTTGGTGGACATTGTGTGTTAACATTATACCCCTAAAACATATAAACATTTATTCCCTTATAAGTTTATGCTATATTAATAAAAATAAATTTAGTTTTAAAAATTCTAAATTATTATACACACAAGAGTATATTTCTGAGATGGAACAAAAGTTTCCGTGCTACACCATGTCTTTAATACTACACAGCACATCCTCTAGGCTCAAGGTTTGAGAAATAGTACTTGTTCCCATATATCCTAAATAATATAATCCCTACTCATAATTTTAAATTTAATTTCATTTCTTTAATGGGAGGTTGGTAAATGCACAGCAATGTTCAGGGCTTACTCCTAACTCTGTGCTCAGTGCTCACTGTTAGAGGAGCTCTGGGAATCATATGTAGAATCAGTGACGGAACCTGGGTCAAACACATGTAAAATAAGCACCATACTCACTGGACTAGTTCCCTGGCCAGCTTTATTTATTTTTATGCATTTTAAATTTGGGCACTTGGTGCTACAGGATCTTGTGGGCACACCCGGTAATACTCATAAAGCCAGATTATCTCAGCTCACCCAGAAACTACTACGCTAAAAATTATACATTGGCAAATTGCATCAAACATTTTTTAAATCCCATTTTAAAAACTACTATCACTACAATTCTAGTCTCAAAATTTACATTCTTGATCAGGGACAGGATCACTTGTATATATCTGTCTCCTGACTACTTACAAAGCTTTTCCAACTTTGCTGTCATTTTTCCTGTGATTCTGTTTTTCTCCTTTAGAGTTTCTATATTCTGGGCAGCAGCACAATTCCCCAAGTCCCTTTTGAAAACAAGCATCCTGATTGCTATAGCAGCCATTTAGCCTCCAAACAACTGCAGTTGTGTTTGGTGAACTATGGCAAATATTTCTGTGCTTATTTTAAAAGATCTTTGATTTTTATAGACTGTTAATTACTTTCTATAACCTATTTTAAGAAGGCCTATGTTAACTTGAAAAGGAGAAAAGCAATGAAATGTGGCACCAAAGAAACGACTTCAAAATTTTTAAACTGATTATGGATACAAAGGAATTTATACCTTTTAAAACATGAGGGTTCAATTATACCTATGAAAAGCATTACTGGTTTGAAGAAATGTACTATAATCACAGACTTTTTACTTTGTAAGGCCAAATTCTCTAAAAATAAAATGCAAAATGTTCCAGTTTGTAGAACTGCAGAAATTATTTTCTGTAAAAATAGGCTATAATCAAATTTACTCCAAAAACACACCTTTAAAGGTAATTAGAGGTGCAGCAATTCTTAGGACATTTAACCCTGAGAGACTAGGTTCCATGGAAATATCAAGTTACTCCACAGGCTCAATTATTGAAATAATTGAGATTGTGGCAATCTCCAGAGACACAGAAAGATATAAAAGAGAGCGAATCAGAAATATACAAAGAAAGTCTTCATTTCTAAGTTAGAGTATCCAATAAGGTTCAGGTTAGAGGAAGGACATTAAGAGAAAACCCCACACATTCTCTACACTGAGAAATATGGTGCTCCCAGGAAAATCCTTTCTCCCAACCCAGCCCAAGAGAAGAAGTACCAAGGAGCACCATGAAGGAAAGTCTCCTGCAGGTGCTGGCAGGAGACACACAAGAGGCTGAATATTTTGTAGGGCTGGAGCTGTAGCACAGTGGGTAGGGCGTTTGATTTGCACACAGCTGACACCAGCAACTTGAGTTCGATTCCTCAGCCCCTCTCGAAGAGCCCGGTGAGCTACAGAGAGTATCCCGCCATCACAGCAAAGCCTGGCAAGCTAATGTGACTTACTTGATATACCAAAAATAGTAAAAACAAGTCTCACAATGGAGACATTACTAGGCCCACTTGAGCAAATTGATGAACAACGGGAAGACAGTGATAGTGAAATTCTAAACCCTGTATAATCTCCATTTTAAAAAAAACCCACAACATAGGATGCACAGCTGGATTTCTTTCTGTTTCACTTAGGATCACAAATATTGCCTCTACTGATTCTTTCAGGATATTAGGTAAAATATTAAGTGTTCAAATAAAGTCAGAATCAAGAAACAAATTCCATGTTTACTTTGTACAGCTCAAGTTTTTAAATAAAAAGTAACACTGAGATGCAATATATAATATGGGACTATGCTTAATAATACTGTGTTGCACATTTCAAAGTCACCACATAGAAAAAGGTGGCCATAGTGACAGATGTTAACTGAACTTGAATCCAAGAGACAGTACAAAGGTTAAGGTTAGTCTTGCACAAGCCCTACTCAGCATCACATACAGCAGATTCAGGTTCAATCCCCGCATCCCATATGGTCCCCACAGCATGGTCAGCAGTGATTCCTGAGTGAAGATCTCTGAGTGTGTCCCCCACCCCATATCACCCACCCCTCACAAAAATAAAAAGACTATTCTAGATATCTTAGGTAGGTCTGATACAATCATTTGAAAAGTCAAAGAAGGGCAGGGCCTAAAGCCTCCCTGGAAAGTAAATACTCTGCATGTGGACTGTTACTTTAGTTTAAATTTAAGAGTTCTAGTTGGTCTTTCCTAATAGTTTGCCTTAAGAATTTCAGATTTGCTTGGTCAGTTCTCAAAACTGCATAAGCTTGTTCTTTACTAAATCTCTATCCCCATTTCTACTTCTGGTGAATCCTGACTGATACTGTGGATAAATTACTCTGATTCTTAATATTTTTTCATATGCAAAACATGTCATGTAACAACCTTTGCAGCTTGCTGCTACATTTACATTTGATTATTTGGTCACTGAGGTGGGGCAGGAAATGTCATAATAGAGTGTCATTGAGCACATGGCTCAAGTATGAGGACTTGAGTTCTAGGATTCTCTCCTATCTGGAACTTGTTTATGCTTTTCTGTAACATCCACTAATCTTCATCATGCTTCTGTCACTGAAAGCACTAGTTTGTGCCATTTTCCAGTTTACACTAGCATATTTGAGCCCAGTTGTTTTGCATTATTTAGGTTCATGTGGGTGACAATTTTAGCGTGTCTGTGCCAGACATTCTTTGCATCTTGGTTGACTTCCCTCACAGATCTGTGGGCTAATTTCAGACACTTCAGTTGAGGCAGCTGTTCTTGGCTGATGGCTGGGACAATGAAACATTTAAGCTTTCCTCTGCTATCATATATGTCCACTTTTGGATTAATGCAACAATGCTTCTTATAATTTGGTAGATAATTGAATGAACAGGCTGATCATGCAAGAAGGAAAACAGAAAGCAAGTGCTTTTCAATCTTCTGCTAGGATCACATTTGCTAACATTCTGTTGGAATGTCAGAGAGAACCAGTTGTGCAACAGAGTTCATATTAAAACATAATATAATGAACAGAGTTCATTATACAAACATACAATTAAGTAAATTATAAAACAAAGACAATAACTACTAACAACTCGGGACTTCTTAATTATCTATGTTCTATCATTATTAACTATGATTATATATTGATATAGTAAAAAAGTTACATATGGACTGAATCGTAAAATTTAAATGCTGGGCACCTAACTCCTGAAGTAAATATATTTGGAGATAGAAAAGGAGGTAATTAAGATTAAATGATATCATCAGAGTGGATTCTGCTGTAGTAGAATTAGTGTAGAAGAAGAAACACAACACTGCTGATTCTGCCAAGCAAGGTCACTGGAAGAGGGTGGCTCTCCTTAAGCGAGGAAGAGAGTCTTCAGCAGAAATCAAACCAGCCAGCATTTCATCAGACTTCTCAGGTTTCAGAGCAGTGAGAAAGTTAATTCTGTTACTTAAGCCACCACCTATGGTGAGTTTCTTGGTTTCTTGTTTTTAATGGCAGCATGAGCAGACAAAGACAAATAGTGCTACAGTGTCACATTAAATGCCATCCTATCAGTAACTTGGACAAACAAACAGAAAGATTCCATTTACCTGTATTTAATTTTTTAGGTTTCTTTTGTTTTGTTTTTTTTTGGGGGGACCACACCCAGTGATTCTCAGAGCTTACTCTTGGCTCTGGTCTTGGGGATAACTCCTGGCAAGGTTTGTGGGACACATGGTATGCCAGTGACTGAATTTCTGATTGCAAGGCCACAGCCCGGCCTGCTGTACTATCTCTCTGGCTACCTATTTGTTTTTTGGCAAAGAATCTGCTAGTTACTTCTATTAAAAACCCAGAAGATTAATCTGGGGATGGGATTGAAGAAAGAGTAGGGCACTTGCCTTACATATGGACAACCCAAGTTCAATCCTGGGAACCCCATATCAGCCTCCAAGAGGTGTAATTCCTGAGTGCAGAGCCAGGAGTTCAGCCGTGAGCTGAGTGTGGCACTCAAACAAGCAAAATAACAATAAATAATTAAATAAAATTAATTAATTTGAGTGAAGGATCATATTACTACAGGTGTTTTTGTTGGTGTGCTTGCTTCTTAAGCTTCAGAATGTATGCAAGGTCACGATCACGGTCCTCCCGTTGTTCTTTGATTTGCTGGAGCGGGCCCAGTAACGCCTTCATTGTGACACTTGTTACTGTGTTTGGCATATCGAATATGTCACGGGGAGCTTGCCATTGCCAGGCTTTGCCGTGCGGGCGAGATACTCTCGGTAGCTTGCCGGGCTCTTTGAGAGTATGCATCAATAAACTCATTAAGACTACATATTTTGGAAGTTGCATTTTTAGTAAGTGTTAGTCTTCAAAAGTTCCTGATATAAGAACCTTCTGTTTATTTTAATGGCACCTGTATATTGCATAGATTGTTCCTTTGTAATAGACATATTAGGAAATACATTTCTTTTTTAAGTTCTTATAATTTAATTAATTAATTATTTAATTTAAAATTCTATTTTATTTTTATAAAGCTGTTCACAATAATGTATTACATTCAGTATTCCAACACCAATACCGACACCATTACACCTTCCCACCACCATTATTTCAAATTTTCCCACCACCACCACCCAAGCTTTCCCCCAAAGCAGGCCCTAAATAATTTATTTTGGATTGCTTTTTGTGACTAATCCACTAAAAATGATCTGCAAAAGTTTCCATAGAGGAAAGGGTGTGAAGATTGTTATACAACCTGGGCCATTAAGCCCCTGCATAAGAGATTACTAACATATTGTTACAAGTTGACCTTGTGTTCATATACATAATATATATTATATATGTTATATATATGTATACACACACATATATATATATTTTTTTTTAATTGAGATGGGTTGCCTTCTACTTCATACCTCATTCAATGTGCTATGCTACTCCTGATATCAGTAGGGTACCATGTAAGATGTCAGTCCAGGAATTCTAAATAGGGTGATACAGCTGGAGTTAAATTTTTAACAAGGAACTATATTTCATTATTTTATAATACCCTATATTGATCGTCAATTGGTTCTGAAATGTCATCAAATCTATATATCATAAATGAAGTCTTATGGCAGAAATTAAACTTTTAAAAAAGGACATAATCAATACACCACTTGTGAAATTTTCTGTGACAATTCACTGAAGAAATTATGCTCATTTAAATTAATAATTTAAAAAATTATTTGTACATCTTAGCACATCAACAGCCCTGGCCCAGAGATACAGCAGCAAGTCCCAGAAGACACTACGGTACTAGAGATCTCTATAGGCTCCATACTGAGCCAGTATCACCGGGGCACCCTAGATGGAACAGGTGCAGTCACCCCGCCTACTCCAGATGGAACCCCAGTGACCAAGAGCTTCCACAAGCAAGGTCAAGTATGTGGGTTCAGGACTAAATCTCAAGGCCGCATGGTGGCAGAGGACCTGGGCTGTCCCTCCCCAGTTCACCACCTGCCCAGAAGACTGGTTGTCATGCCCACAATTTGCTTCTGGAAGTCATCTTAGTGCACAAACAGTCCTGGCCCAGAGACTCCCAACTGAATCCCCAAATGGATTAGTGCCATACAGAGATGTCACTGAAACCCAACCATTTACAATCTAGAAATTTACATTTGCAATCACAGTGTACGAGCTCTCATGATATTCGAAATGAACTATGGAAAATTTATTATCCAGCATCTGCCCCCGGAAGGTAGGCTTGAATGGTGGTGGGAAAATTCGAGCAAAACATAATGCCCAAAATGAGAGAGAGAGAGTAGGGGGGGAATTGTCTGTCATAGAGGCAGGGTGAGGACTGGGATGGGGTGGGGGAAGAATACTTGGGACATTTGTGGTGGAAAATATGCACTGGTGAAAGGATAGGTGTTCCATCATTCTATGGCTGAATCTCAAATATGAAAGCTTCATAACTATATCTCACGATACAATGAAATAAAAGAGTAATGTGGAGTTCATGCCCAATTCAATCAGCTTAATCAATGACTGAACAAGTAGCAGTACTCCTACATTATTAAAAAAAATTACTTGTAAACAAAAGAAGATATAATATTACAAAAATAGTGCAGAACAGCTCTTAAAGTTTCCCAGTTAAGTCACTGAACATCTAGTTGGTCTACCTCAAGTTTGAAAAGCTGTGATGGAGAGGGAGACGGGTACATTGGTATTGGATATAATATTGGAATTACATACATGGGAAATCATCATTAATGGTTTTCTAGATCACAGTAGCTCAAACAACTTAAAAGTTTTTAAGAGGCTGAAGATATAGCTCATGGAGTAGGGCACTTGCCTTGCCTGTGTTCAACTCAAATTCAATCCCCAGCACCACGTATGGTCCCCTGAGTTTCACCAAGAGTGATTCCTGAATGCAGAGCCAGGAGTACATCCTGAACTCTGCTAGGTGTGAATCCGAGCCAAAACAACAAAAAGTTTTAAAAGGCAGGAAAACTATGTGATTTGCACAACTAATGGATGAACTGTTTAACTTAAATGCATCAAATCACCACCTGCACTTAAAAAAAGTATTCATGACTATATTTCAAAACATTTTCTGAAAGGATAATTATGGTAGAAGATGTTTAGATGCTTATTAGAGTGCCACCAAGATATTCTTTACAAGATCTGTGTGCTGGGGCCCGGCTGCCATGTGAACTCTGAGCTGTCTCCTTCTCCAGGGAACAGTCTTGACCTAAAGGGAGTCATCTCTCTTGCTACTTGTAGAAAGTTGCACTTTCCCCCTGAGAGCAGGCCTCAGCCACTGACAGTCACTAGAGCCATAGTCACTAGCATCATTAATGGTACAGAACAGCCCAGGAGATGAAGTGGATGTAAAGCTTCAGTTAAACCCATTTCTCTGCCTATCTTACATCCTAAACTAGTTTGTGTCCTTTAGCCACTGCAAGCTTTAACCATGAGTACTTCTTCACTGTATCAACTGGGCAACAGAGCCCTACTATTGGAAGGTGTACCTCTATAAAACCCAATGCAAAATGCTGATAATCTCATCTTGTCAACTCTGAAGCAGTACTTAAATCAAAAAGCAAATATAGTAAATAAAAAATAAATATAAATACAAAATAAATACAAGTATAATAAATATACTACCTTGACAGGATGAAGGTTTGTTGTAGTGATAATTTTGTGCAGCGGGCCTGCCAGTTTGGGGGGAAGTTTCGGCTCTTTATCCAGTCCCTGGGGTTTAGTGTAATAATCCAGTCTCTCTCTCGGAAAGAAGTTGTTGATTATAGTCACACAATCATGTTGACCTTTCAATAGGAAAACACAGGATTTGTTGTATTATCATTAAAAATAAGACATTTCTTTTTTAAAAGTTATACATTGTTAGAGTACACGGAGCTTAGGTTTATCAGATTGTACCCATCACAGTGCTCCCGAGTCACTCCCATTACTTTGTCAGTCTGTCACCACTTCTATGCTCTCTTCCCCAACCAATTTGTAAGGTCTCATCCTTCTTAGACAGTGAAGCTGTACTGTCAGTTAATATTGCCTTTCTCCTCTCCTTATGTCTTTTGAGCAGTTTACTTTAATGCAATGTCCTTTTGTATAGATACAGGAAGACAATTAATATGCTTTGTAACTTAGGAATTGATTGGCTTTGAATATTATTCACTCCTGGGCATCTGCCTTCTCAACTTAAGCCTCAGTTGCCCTCACTTCCTAGCACCCCAAGGGCAGGGTCCCAACGTGGGACTGGATGGAACCAGGGCAAGCCTGTACGTTATGTGCTACCCTGGCATCACAATGGGCCAGGCCAAGGTGCCACGATTCTTAACTATGTTAAGAGTTTGATCATAGGCAAATGCTGTCATGATCCAAAAGTAACGACGAGACTAGGACCCTGATGCTAGGAATAGGAAAGATATCTGGCCTGAGCACTGCAGTCTGAGATCGAGATGACCCTAGGAGAGCAATTCTATAAGCTCAAAGTATTTCTTACTGTGTCCATACAAAATGATTAATATTATGCATGCTTATATGTTGGTTGGACAAGGAGAGGAGAAACACGTCCTAGAAGCAGTTTTCCTGTGTGTCCTGACCAGCTTGGATGAGACTGTTTTCTCCCCTTCAAACTGCCTTCAGTAAATGATTTCAGTATATTGAGGTAGTTTCTCTTATCTCACAGGAACCTAGCTGGCCTTAGGTATACAGATCCCAGGTGCTAAACCAGGCCTGGTCTTTGGGATGTAGATACCTGGCTGCAGGCTGGCTGATTTTGGAGATGTAGATTCCAAGCTCTAGCAGACTGGTCTTTGTTGTGCTAATCTAAGTGCTTGTAGCTTGTAAAAAGGTGAGGCCAGGATTACTGGCCTGCAGATGTAAAGAAACAATGTATGTTTTGCCTCAGTGTTCTTTCTGTAACTCCTTTTGATGACATCACTATATTGCGCCCTTTAGAGGTACTATGATCTATATAAGGGAGATTTCAGGGCTCTTTGGGGGACACATGCATCAGAGAACCTGGGAAGATGGGGCTGAGGACAGAAGCTGAGAGAACAAAGGCGCACGTGCTTGAGGATTCCTGAGGCCTCCATGACATACATCTCTTCCATGTAATAAACGGCTGCTAAGACCAACCAGCTTGGCCTCCTTTCCTTCCTTCGCCTGACCATCACCATCGACCTCCGTGGAGTGGGGAAACAGCCTGACCGCCGGCCCTTTTATTTTTTGTGTGTTTACACAATACATTACTCTGTTTTCTTATGAAATAGACACATATCTGTATCTTTTTTAGAAAAGTATTAAGGAAGCAAAATATTTGGGGAACATTTATTAATATACCATACTGTGGAATAAAAATAATATCATTTTAAAGACACTCTAGATCCATACGCATATGATGGCTACATGGATTAATAAAAAGTAAGCAATGTTCAACTTCTCACCGACCTAAATTTTATACAAGTTGCTTATAATTTAAATTACTTTTATTTTATTCATTTATAAATCATGGCCATTCTTTTCTAATCATACTTGTCTTTCTTTGAAAAGAATTTGTATATTCTGTACAAAGTGTTTTTATTATTATAATAATTATTAGAGGCTTATTATTATAATAATTATTAGGGGCTGGAGCTATAGCACAGCGGGTAGGGCATTTGCCACATATGGGTTTGACCCAGGTTAGATTACCAGCATCCCATATGGTCCCCTGAGCATTGCCAGTAGTAATTCCTGAGTGCATGAGCCAGGAGTAACCCCTGTGCATAGCTGGGTGTGACCCAAAAAGCAAAAAAAAAAAAAAAAATTGTTAAATATTCTTAGACCAGCCTTGGAAACTAAACAGCTTACTGCTAAATAAAAACTGGGTCAAAAAAGGAAATCAAAGAAGAAACCAAAAGATTTCTTGACACCTCACAGCTGCTGCCATGCTAACTATTCAACTCCACGGCCTTATGACTAAGCTCTGCAGAAATGCCTAATTGCCATAAACTTCAGGTACACTGGTTTTCAGAGTGAGAACTCTGAGGTCTTGAGTCTTCTCACAGTGGGGCAGGCAGCCTCCATATCCCCCCACCCCAATACATCTACAAGCCCCAACAGCCACACCCACATCCCACAATCTCCCTATGTAAGCTCGGTTTTACAGACTCATGATTAAACATCAAAAGAGATCAACTAGTCACAAAAATTCATGGATACACTGGTCTCCCATCTGAAAACTCTAGGGAGCCCTTGGGAGGGGGCCTGGCAGAGTTCTTACCTGCTGAAGCCCCAGTAGCTGCCCCTACAGGGGGCACAATGCTGTGCCATCAGCCCTATTCCATTGACTCATGATTGAGCTCTGCAGAGATGTCAAGCTGCCAAAAGCGTCAAGTACACCAGTCTTCAGGCTGAGAACTCTAGAATCTTCTCAGAATGGAGTGGGCAGCCTCCCTCGACTCCCCATACTTTCAGAAGCACCAGAAACTACACCATATTGCATACCCACTGCTATGTAAACTCACTACCCAGTTAAATATTCTAGAGTTTCTGAAGTGTATCACTTCCAAACTCTACAACACCGACATCTCAGTAGAAGTATAACAAATTAAATGGGAAAGTAACATAGAAGTCGACTAATCTCAATAAACAGAAACATTAACATAGCAGTCTCAACTAGCAACAACAGTTTAGTAAAACCCTCAAAGACAATGTCCCCACTGTGGGATATAACAATTTTCACAATTTTTTTGCACAACAGTATTTTTTTTTGATAATTACATTAGATATTTAGTTGAACAAGCAGTACAAAATAAATTATTTTGTGCCTGCTAAGGGAAAAACCTTGGGAATCACCACTGGTTCAGGGAAATGTGGACAATAATGGAGGGAAGGTCACACTGGTGGTGGGATTGGTATTGGAATATTGATTGCTTGGAAGTAATGTATCATGAACAACTTTGTAAACCACAATATTTAAATACAGGGAAGGGGAAAAAAGATTCCTCAAAACAAGAATGAATGTAAACCACTGACTACCAGAACCTATGGGACACATCAAAAGCAATATTAAGGGGAAAGTTTATAGTTATTCAAGCAACACACAGCAGGAAGAAAGGGGCATTGGGGTCCTTGAGGAAGGGAGGCTGGTACTCTGGTGATGAGTGTGGTAATGTAATTATCTATTTAGGGAATCATCATTAACAATACTTTAAGTCACAATAAGAAATAAGAAAGTTAAGAAAAAATAATAAAAATAAAAGAATAACAGATGAAAGTAAATAAAAAGCAAAGCTTTCTCTGATGAAACTGCTCTGAAGCACAGAAGTGGCCACTCTGGGCAAGTAGACAGAAGCTACATGCAAAATGTAAAGGTACAAGCTCTTCCATCCAAGAGATAAAAATGAAAAATCAAAAATAAAAACTCTCTAAATAATTAAATTACCATAGTGATCAATGGACATGGAGAGTATCATGATGAGTGAAATAAGTCAGAAGGAGAAGGGCAGACATAGAATTATTTCATTCATTTGTTGAATATTAAAAAAAATAGTATGAGACTAATATCCAAGGACAAAAGAAACAGAAACTGGGAGAACTGGTCAATGGTTGGAAGCTTGCCATAAGTGTGTGTGGGGATGGAGGGCAGTTAGGATAGAGAAGGGACCACTATGACTATAATAGTTGGAATGATCACTCTAGATAAAAAACCGAGTGCTGTAAGTAGGTAAAGCTGTAAGTAGGAGTGCTCTAAGTAGGTAAAAACATATAGCTTTTAGTTGCCTGTATTGCAAACAGCAATACTCAAAAGGAACAGAGAGTGAGAGAGAGGGGGGGGAGAGAGAGAGAAAAAAGAGAGAGAGAGAGGGCGGGAAGAAGAGAGGGAGGGAAGGAGGGAGAGACAGAAAAGTGCCTGCCATAGAGGTGGGGGGGGCGACAGGAGTAGGAGGGAAACTGGGGACATTGAGGGTAAGGAAATGCATACCAGTGAGGGGATGGTTGTTGGAACGTTGCATGTCTGAAAACCAATCATGAACAACTTTGTGACTGTGTTTCTTATGGTGATTAAAAAAAAATAGGTGAAAACAAAAAAGAGTTACAGAAGTAATTATGGAAATACAAGGAAGGAACATGAGGTGGGGAGGTATTCTTTAAAAAGAAGAATAAATAAAAGAACACTTGCTTTAAAGCCAACATCATCCCATCAAAATGGCTAGTATAGAAAGTGACAAACTGATCTGTAGAAAGAACAGTAATTTTCAAAATAGTTACTAGTTCATAAGAAATAGTGCACACTATTCACAATAGCCACAATCTGGAAACAACCTGAGTGGCTGAGAACAGACAACTGAATAAAGAAACTATAGTATACCTACATAATGGAATACTACACAGCTGTTAGGAAAAATGAAACCATGAAATTTACTATGAATGGATGGACATGGGGAGTATCATGCTGAGTGAAATGAGTAAGAAGGAGCAGTACATATATAAAATGGATTTATTTGTGGGATATAAGAAAAAGTATGAGACTAATATCTAAGACCAGGGAAAACAGGGGCCAGGAGGACTGGCTAATGGTTTGAAGTTACACAAGTGTAAAGCAGGGCAGGGGGCAGGGTGTGTGGAGGAATCAGAGAGTAATTAAGATAGAGGAGGGGTATGACAGTATGACAATAATATTTGGAAATAAGCACTCTGGACAAGAACTGAGAGTTGAAAGTAGGGAAAGGGATACATGATAATCTTTCAATATCTATATTGCAAGCCATATTGCAAGCAAAGGAAAGAGAGACAGAGACAGAGAGACAGAAAGACAGAGAGAGAGAGAGAGAAAGAGAGAGAGAGAGAAAGGTGCTTGCCATAGTGATTGCCATAGAGGCAGTCTGGGTTGGTGAGAGTTGGGGGGTTGAGGAGGGAAACTAGGGATATTGGCACTGGGAAATGTACACTGGTGGAGGGATGGTGTTAAAACATTGACTTAAACCCAATTATGAACAGCTTTGTAATACTCTATCTCAGGGTGATTTAATTAAAGTAATAATAATAATAATAATATTCCAAATTTTAAAAAAAAGAAATAGTGCAGAAGAAAATTAGTTTTCTAATTTTGTCTTCTTAGTCTTCTAAGTCTCCAACAGTAGTTTTCCATTTAAATGGGAAACGTTAAGTAGTTTAATAAAAGGAGCTAATGCAGCAATATATTTTAGAAGTATTAAAAATGATAAAAGTCAAAAAAAAATTATAGAAGTCATAAAAATATCAGGACACCATTTAACAAAGGTGATAATGAAGCAGCTGCATATTATATTATTATTAATGCTCCTTCTGCTGAAAGAATTTTATCACTGAACTTATTATTTATAATACTGATGGTATTTATTTAGTGTTACATGCAAAACTTTTTAAATATACCATTTCATTCAGTCTTTCAATAACCATAAAAGAACCTGTTAACAATGAGAAAACTACAGGTCAGAATCATTAAGTAACTTTCTATTAAGTGGCATAGCAAAATATTAACTCAATATTGTTGACTCCCTGGTTCATGTCCTTAAATGCTACATCAAATTAATTCCCTTTGAAAAAGAGAGTATACTCGATACACTGGATGGCAATAAAATATCTCCATCATTGATTAAATATTCAAAGTAAAAATTCAAAATAGTTTATTTGTGTTTCCAAAATCCCATTAGGTATTTCCTTTAATTAATGAACTCTGGAGATTTGTAACATTTTAATTATTTTAAGTAGTATTTTTAGGGAGAAAATTTGGGTACAATCTAAACAAAACTACCATAATATCTCATGGGCTATACTATACTATAGTACATACTCTTATAGTACATACATAAAGCTATAGTAATCAAAACTATGCGGTACTGGAATAAAGATAAACTTTCCAATCAATGAAATAGAATTGATAGGCCAGAGATAAACCTTCAGATTTAAAAGGGACAAAGGAGTTGGCTGCATGAGGTGGAGTTAGAAAAGCCTCTTCAACAAATGATGCTCAGAATATTGGATCTCCACACACAAAAATATGAAACTGGATCCCCATCTCACACTATAAACAAAAGTTGTTCAAAGTGGGTTTAAGACCTCCGTATCAGATCAAGCTCCATAAATCATATAGAGGAAAACAGTGACAGCATGATCCATGATACAGACCTCAGGAATCTCTTCATTGATTTCCTTATATTGGCAAAGATACCAAAAACAAAAACAAACAATTTGGGTTACATCAAACTATCAAGTATTTTTCATGGCAAAAGAAATTCAGGCTAAAATAAAAAGATACTTTACTGAATGGGAGAAAAATATTTGTACATTATACCTCAGATAAAAAGCTAATGTCAAAGAAAAACAGCATTTACAAAGCTCAATAACAACAGAACAATAACCCCACCAAAAAATGGGAAAAGAAGAGGAAGACACTTCTCTGAAGAGATATATGTAGAGACAATTAGAATATGAAAAAGTGTTTATCATCACTTATTACCAGGTAATTGCAAATCAAAACAAGACACTGAGATAGTATCTCATAGTGAGAACAGCATATCAAGAGACCAGAAACCACCACTATTGGTGGGAGTGTGGTGAAAAAGAAACCTTCATCACAGTTGGTGAGAATATTGTCTGGTTCAGTATCTATGGAAAAAACTGTATTAAGACTTCTAAGACTTCTATAAAAAAGAAAAAGAAGAAGAAGAAAGAACAGAGCTTCCACAACATCCAGAGATTCCACTTCTCTGAAAATCCAATGACAGATGAATGGATAAAGAAGTTGTGGTATTGGGTGGGAGAGATTATAGTACAACCGACCTGGGTTCAATCTCCAGGACCTCATATGGTCCCTCAAGCACTGGCAGGAATGATTTCCTAAGCGCAGAACTAGGAGTAAGCCCTGAGTACCAACAGGTGTGAATCCTGCCTCCTAAAAAATAAAAACGAAGTCGTGGCCTATAGATGCCATGGAATATTATGCTTCTGTAAGAAAAGATAAAATCATGCACGTCACTGAAACTTGGGTGAAACATGATATTAAGCAAAAGTCAGAAGGAGGACAAATGCCAGATGGTTTCATTCATCTATGGTATACAGAGAAACAAAAAAAGGAAATACTATTAAATGACAACAAACCCTTGGGTTTTTATAACTAAGATTACTGAGATTACAGTGGGGAGTCTTAGGCACTATGGTGGTGATAAAGGTCAGTAACTTTATACATCAAAACCATAAACATTAACTCTACTGTAATCATGTGACCTAATTAAAATAAAAGTATTTTTTTAAAAAAAGGCCTCATGAGAGCGAGAGAGAGAGAGACAGAGAGACAGTGAGACAGAGAGAGACAGAGAGGAGAGAGAGAGAGAGAGAGAAGAAGAAGAAGAGAAGGGTTTGCCAGAGAAGCAGGAAGTTGAGAGAGAGAAACTGGAGCCATTGGTGATGGGAAATGTACATACGTGAAGGGACTGGTGTTGAACATTATATGACTGAAACCCAATCATGGACAACTTTACAACTGTGTATATCACTATGATTCAATATTAAAAAAAAAAACAACAACAAGCTTACCCACAAAGGCTGCCATCTGAGCAGCTGTTCTTCCCACTGAGTTGACAACATCTGTTTCAGCACCAGCTTCCAATATCGCCCACGTGATGTCTTTGTTACCTAGAGTAAAAAGGGGAACATGCTTGTTAAAATTAAGAATGCATATTACAAATACTCCCTTCCAAACTATCTGTACGTTTTTCACATTTAGTTTTTTGGGGGGCCCTGGGGGCTGAAAGATGGAGCCACACTTGGTGGTTCTCTGGGAACCATATGGGAACCAACTGAACTGGGGTCGGCCACATGCAAGGCAAATACCTTAATTCCTGTAAATCTCTCCAGCCTATAGCTTTAATCTTCTGAATATCTTCATTTTTTTCCAATATATAATTTGTAATCCTTGTAAAGACTAAAATGCTACAAGAATCTACATTAAACATGACCTAATCTGAATTATAAAATATTTGAATATGAAAAATAATATAAAAGTACATTGGGCAATACAAAATTAATAAGGGTGAATATCTTTCCATCTACAAAGCAGATTTTTCTGAAAGACAATGCTTGTTTGACTGAGGAGATGCCCCAAGGGAGAGAGCACATGCTTTGCAAATAGCAGTCCCAGCTTCGAGCCCCTGCATTGCTTGGTCTCCCAGGTACTGCTGGAAGCAGCCCCAAGCACTGCCAGAATTGTACCAAATAAATAAATTAATCTTTGGACTGAAAAAAAATTATGCTTAGTATAGAGGCAAAATAAATAAAACACTGAAAACAAAGAAGGGATACAATGGATATAAAGTCTTGCTTAATATACACTAGCCCATGCCATCCCTGTTACCAGTATGTCCTGGAATTACTATCAGTTGGTGCTCTCTCTCTATACTTTTTTCTGTCTAAACATGCAATTTGAAGCCAAAGTGATAGTATAGCAAGTAGGGTTCTTGCTTTGCATGCGGCTGACCTGGGTTCGATCTCCCGCACCCCATCTGGTCCCTTGAGCCTGCCAGGAGTGATTCCTGAGCACAGCCAGGAGTAAGCCCTGGCCACAACCAAGTGTGGCCCCGAAACCAAAAGAAAAAAACCTAAACATAGGTAGTTATTCTATTTGCATTGTTTCAGTAATTGGATCATTACATTTTGCTACCATTAACTATACTCAACGAACTGCATTTTCTATTAATTTTTGAAAACTTGAGCTATGATTTCCTTAGAAATAGTTGCTGAAAAACACTGCAGAATCAATTATGCATGTTTTAAACGCATTTGTAGGCTGGCATCCATTTGTAGTGTGACTGATACACACTACCAAAACAGTACAAAGAAGTATCAATGCCAATTTGCTGGATATTATCACTCTCTTTTTTTTTAGGGGTTAGAGAGTGTTTTCTCCAAAGCAGTGCTCAGAAGGTCCAGTGGCCCCTACCCAGTATTAGCCAACTGGGTCAGCGGCTCAATACTAGGGCCCCAAACTGTGATAATCTCCACAGATTAACCAGATCATGGTGCTTGGGAGTCTCCAGCTCTGTGCCCAGTAAAGCTCAAGGATACATGTGGTGCTAAGGATTGAAACAAGGTCTGCCAGAGAAACAGATAACTCTTTCAAAATAGCTGTTTTCTCAAAAACAATGATAAAGAGTTTCTCATGGTCCTTCAAATCATGAAGACAGAATATCAAAGGAACTAACCTCAAAGAATACTAGATCCAAATCCTGAGCTTTTATATAACATATTATGGATAGAAGAACCAACTTTTTTACATAAAATTGACTTAGATCACCAAATCAAATACATAACATTTCAGACATTATAATTTCAAAAATTTATTCTCACCATTTTTCTCATAACACTTGATTTTAAAATCACTATAACCAAAGTGTATTCATTTTAATGCATTTGTGTTTATAAGGGATTTTTACAGGTGAACAATGTTAATATTTTAGAATAAATGCTAAAATTTCACCAGAAAGTGCAGCAAACATGAGTGCAGTGTATCCATGTTCGTGTTGATGACAGTTTACGTCCGCTCCATGTCGCAAAAGTAATTTGCACATATCCAGTTTTCCTTTGTATGCAGCGTGCATTAGAGGAGTCATCCCATTCTTTAATAGAAAAAAACATATATCAATTTTGTGTATTTACCCTCCCCCTACCAATGAATGATCCATGCAATTGCATGAATCTGAAAATCATCTCTACAACCTGTATTTTTATATTTACTTCTCCAGTTAAACTCTTCCATAAACTGCTAAGGTAAAAGGTTGACTTTACAACCTCAGGTTTTTCTACAGATTAGCAAATAGATTCTAAAAAGACTTTTCAACCTCATGTGGCCAGAAAATGGTTGGGGCAGCAACTAAATTCCAATTTCCCAGAGCTCTAATCTCTATTCCACAACCTTAGCACCTGGAAAAACACGAGTCACATAAAAAACAGCTACAATCATATAAAGAAAAATCCAAGGATAACCTTTAAAAGAAGTTGAATGTACATCTAGAGGAAAGCTGAATATATTATGGCATATCTGTAACTATATATACCCATGGAGTGTTATGTTAAAAAAGTTCACTTGCATCTGTTGAACCAAAGAAATTTTCATAAATTACCACTAAAGAGAAAAATTAGATGTAGGAAATATATTATTATAATGGTACATTTTGAAAACAATGAACCCCAAAGCCACATTTATAATTTGATCACATATATTATTTAATGTAATATATGAACATATTAAGATGAAGAAATGGCTTCCAGTACTGACTCTAGACTGGCTAAATTGTATACTAACAATGTATTATGCACCTAGCCAATGATACATCTACCCTTTATAGGTTCTGGGTGCCTCATAGTTTTGGAGGATAAATGAATAAGCCATTCTCTGTAAAGGAAGGTTCTTAGTAATCTAGATGTGCCAGGACTACAATGATACATTTGAATGCAAACCTCTTTAAAATATGTAATCACTTATTTGAGTAAGCCTTATAATTCTAACATATCTTTTACTGCCTTTGATGAGTCTAGGCTATTATTATGACACAAGCTATCATATTGTTGATACTCCATCATAGTAGTCTTAGAGTTGTTAATGCAAGAAAACTGAGATATTAAAGGTGTTTATATATAAGAGGCAACTAATTATCGTTCTTATTCTTCCCTTTATTTGGTGAAGAAACAAAAATTTTATTATAATTTATTTAGAAAGATGTGGGGGGAGGAAAAGGAAAAAGTACATGTTTGAGAGAGAACACAGGTTTCTCCACAGTGAAAATAAAGTAGCAAAGAAACATAGTGAGAAACAGTGAGAGAGAAATCAAGGGAGAACCAGTCTTGAAGCACAAGCCAAGAGACAACTCCTTGAGAGTAGTAATGAGGAATGATAAGAATATTATAATTTTAATATTTCCTCCATTGGTGGTATCTATAAGGAGGGGTTATTAAAGGTTAGGGGCAGTTGAACAGCTAATCAGAATCTCAGGGTACAGGTGCAGCAGCAGCGTGATTTGATGAAGTGGAAGTGGAATTGATGGTTTTACCTTTTGAATGAAGGAAGGAATGTGCATTAGAGCACAACTAGGGTAATAAACCCCAAAGGATGGCATGACTTGTACATAGAGCTTAGCATGTAGTCAAGAATACAGTAAGGAGACAACACAAGAATGCAATTAAATACTCAGCAATCCTATCCATCAATGAGGTTTTCCAGCTCCAAGAAAGATTCTGAAACTGCAGAAGTGTCCTAAATTTTAAGTCAAGAAGGAGTTTTCAATACCAAGTGAAATATACTAAAGATCAGGGGATATATGCACAACTTTTTTTTTTTTTTGTTACATGCATCAATGCTCAGAGGTTACTTCTGGCTCCGCACCCACGAATCACTCCTGGCATTGCTCTGGGAATCACATGGGATGCTGAGGGTTGAACACAAGTTGGTCACATGCAAGGCAAGAGCTTTACCTGTTGTACTATCTCTCTGGCCCCAGAAATAACTCACAACTTTGAAAACTGTCCTCATTTTCTCTGATCTGATTGTGTTTTACCTGTCAGCTGTATGCATCACTGTCCACAGACCTGACCTGTCTGCCCTATTTTCTGCTACTTTCCTTCTTGTTACTAAAACAAGCAAACAAACAAACAAACAAAAAACTTTCCCTCTTTTCTCTTTTGTTCTTTTTTTTTTTTTTTTTTTGCCAGCTGTTCTCCTAGCAGGTAGCACTGTAGCACTGTCCTCCCGTTGTTCATCAATTTGCTCGAGCCCAGTAACGTCTCCTTCGACTTGTTACTGTTTGGCATATCGAATACGTCAGGCTTTGACAGCTTTGACAGCGGGTGAGATACTCTCGGTAGCTTGTCCTGCTCTCCAAGAGAGGCGGAGGAGGAATTGAACTTGGGTCAGCCTGGTCGGCCGCATGCAAGTCAAACGCCCTACCCACTGTGCTATATCGCTCCAGCCCGATTGAATTTTAATACCAACCAATGAGAGGGCTTCTGTCTTGAAAAAAAAAAGACTATCTCAGTCATAATATTTGCTATGCAATCTCTGAACTGGCCTTTACTGACATGTTTACAATGCAATGTGTGTTTTTCCCATGTCAAATGTTAGCACAGGGCTAGATGTTCTAAGGGATTAGAGATCAAACTCGTGGTATGATTTAAGGAAATAGTAACAATGAATTGGGCTCATAGTTTTCTTGAGCTTCTTTCTATTTTGATATCAACATTATGATATCTTTATCAAATGAAGGGAATTTGTCATCTTTCTATGAACTTATTACACAAATGGTACAATTTATCATTACACAAATGGTAAAATGAGGATTACCTTATCATTGAAGGTTGGTAAAACTTTGGAGGGTAGTAACCTTTTTTTTTTGGTAGCGACATTTAAATACATTTTCATAAATAAATCTTCCTTGATCTTTCCTGTTTCTTAACTTCTTTTATGAGATGAATATGATCATTTTCCTACAAAGTTACTACTCCTAGTTCTGTGTTTAGGGATCACTCCTGTTGGTGTTCAGGTAACCATATGGGGTTCTCAGGATCAAACCTAGGTTTGGTGCATGCAAGACAAGTGCCCTACCCACTGTGCTATCTCTCTGGCCCTAGAATATTTTTGTTACCTCCAGAAGGAACAGCAAACAGATCACTGAGCAGTCATTACCGTTCCCCCTTTATCTTACCCTAGGCAATACTAAACTGTGATATTTACGTGGATTTGCCCGTTTGAACACCTCTTTTAATGGAATCATTTAGTTTTTTTTGTTAGTGTTTGAATAGTTTCAAAGCTCATCTGTTATATAATGTAACTGTTCCTTATTCCTTTTTATAACTAATAAATATCCCACTGCATTGTTATAAAACATTTTGTTTATCTACTAATCAGCTGATGGACATTTAGGCTATTGCCATGTCTGGCTATTATAAACAATGCTGCTGTAAACCTTCACATTTAAGTTTTTTTGTTTGATATTAGTTTTCTTTATGTATATTCATATACACATATATACAAATATATACACATAAATACACGCACTGCCAAATTGTTTTCCAAAAAGTTTTTATCATTTTACAGCAAAATATAAGGATTCCTATTTTTTTCACATCTTTACTAATATATGTCATTATCTATATGTTTTATTACAGTCATTCAAGTAGTGTCTCATAGTGGTTTTGATATGCACCACCTACACAGTTACTACTCCTAGCTTTGTGTTCAGGGATCACTCCTGTTGGTTTTCAGGTAACCATATGGGGTTCTCAGGATCAAATCTAGATTTGGTGCATGCAAGACATGTTAAATTCAGCATTCAATAATGCTGAATGGTTTTTTTTTATGTGCACATGTTTGCATAAATCTAATGGACTTATATTATTATTGTTGTGTTGTAGTTCTTAATTTTATAGTTACAAGACCCTTATTGGATATGACTTGTCAGTCCATTCTTTGAATTGTCTTTTCATTTTTCCCCCATTTCCTTGCTTTCTGTTGTGATGGCTGAGGTCACATACTTGGTTGTGATGCTTGTGGCGGGCCCCACACCTTAACTGCAGTGCTCATACAAGCCTAGTTATGGAGAACAAGGGTCTAGGACAGTAGAACCTCGGGACCAGTGCCCAGTGCATGAAGAGCATAAAAAGGACCAAATGCACAGTCCCATTCTTGCCAAGGTAGGTATGAAGAGCTACAATGATTGTCCCCTATCCTTTTATTTCTTAAAGGCATCCTTTAAAGCACAAATGTCTTTGTCCTTGGTCCCTAGCACTAAACTGCCACCTAGCTGACCAATGTTGGCAAGAGTAGCCCCCAGGTCTCCTGATCACCAGTTTGTGGCAACCCCCCCAACCAAAATAAAAATTAAAAAGCCCACAATTTTTACTTTGAATATTTCCACTCTACATTTTACTTTTGCTTCTGTATTTGATAGATTTTAATTATTTTTATTTCTATTTTATTATTCCTACTTTATTCCTTCTATTTTCTGAGCTGGAACGATAGCACAGCAGTAGGGCATTTGCCTTGCATGCGGCCAACTTGGCTGACCTGAGTTTGATTCCTCCACCCCTCTTGGACAGCCTCGCATGGCAAAGCCTGGCAAGCTACCCATGACGTATTCTATATGCCAAACACAATAATACGAGTCTCACAGTGGAGACGTTACTGGGCCCGCTCAAGCAAATCGATGAAGAACGGGAGGACAGTGTAGTGCTATTTTCTGAGCATGCCTTATACTTTTGCCCTAATTTCATAAGTTAAAAGCTCTGAATACTGCAAAGATTGAAAATATAACAATATACAATACAAAATTCTTACATAGCTTTGGCCATATTACATAACTTCTGATTTTCAGTTTCAAAGAGTAGGCAATTTCTACTCTTTTCTTACCGAAAAATTACATTAAATTAAAACAAATCAGAGTATATTGAGTCACAGTTTTTAGTATTTTTAATGTATCCTATTGAATTTGGTAAACTTTTTGCAAATTAGTTAAATTTTCCTTTTAAAAATAATTCTTAGGGGCTGGAGCAATAGCACAGTGGGTAGGGCGTTTGCCTTGCACGCAGTCGACCTAGGTTCGATTCCCAGTATCCCATATGGTCCCCCGAGCACTGCCAGGAGTAATTCCTGAGTGCATGAACCATGAGTAACTCCTGTGCATCACCGGGTGTGACGCAAAAAGCAAAAAATAAATAATAATAATAATAATAATTCTTAAATATTTAACATTTGTTTTAGTTGGGGGCTACATCTGATAGTGCTCAGGAATGACTCCTGGTTCTGAGCTCAGTTATCACTCCTGGGAGGGGTTTGCAGGACCAGAGGTGGAGACAGGGATTGACTCCAGGTCAGGTGTGTATAAGGCAAACGTTTTACCTGCTGTAATATCACTCTGACTCATAAAATAGTTAATTTTTAACAATGTTCCACATGAAAATGAGAAGTACTTTTTAAAAAAAATATAGAGTAAACAGACTGTTAGATTATCCTAATTTTTCCTATCCATGACTTACATTTTTTTCTATTTAATACAATATAGTTTCTGAAAGGTGCTATTTTGATTTAGTGATTTCTTCACTGTATAACACCATTTTCTTTACAAATCTTAAGGCCTATATATAAAGGTTTACAACTAGTATGTTCCAGGTGGATTATTCATTTAATCTATAGAAAGCTAGTGTTGATCTATAAATTTTTCATTCTAAAATATTTTTCTCAAATAAATATTTTCTGTTAACTTTGCTAGCCATGTGTTGCCAAAGCATGAATAAAATTTTATCCCCTTTTGCATGAGAAAGTGAAAGTGATTAACTCTTTAGCACTAGAACTGTCTAATAGCTGCCGTATTGAAATGCTTATCATCATTTCAAAAAGCTATTTTGGATTGCAATTCAATTAGCCTAGCTAATTGATTTTTGGTTCAATAACTTTCCCTAGAAGTAGACTTGCTGGATCAAGGATATGTGCATTTAAAGTTGAAACATATTCTGAATTTTTTCTAGTATGTGGTGTCAATTTATAATCCATTAGCAAATAAAAGCTTAATGTTTCTCATACTTCACAATAAATGTTATGACTTTACTCCAATTCTCTCTCAATTCCTAATAAAATTAACATATCTTTAGGTGTTTTTCTTTTGTTATTTATCTGTTTACATGTTAGAAATTAGCTTAATGAGGAAAAATAATAGAGAATAACTCCTGATGTTAGGTTTTATATATTATCCATCATCATATGAAGTAAAAACAACTTAAAAATTTTTACCTCATCTAAACAGTTGACACGAACATTCTTGCTAGCTAAAAGTGTTCCAACTTCTTGGATAGTTCCTTAAAAAGAAAAATAAAATGCAAAGTAAGGTAATTTTTCATTAAAACAGAGAAAAATCTTATATAAAGAAAACAAACTTTAAAGGGTTATTTATTAAAAACAAGATTTTCAGGTTAGGCTATTAAAAAAAATAAAACAACCAGTCACATATAAGTTATTCCATAAATCATTTACCTAGAAGCATAAATTTATAGAAACTAAAATAGGACCATATTGTTTTTACTTTCATTGATCTTAGAGTTTATCAAATTGGCCACATTTTCTTTTTGGCAGTCATACAATGAACACAAAGCTGAAATTCTTATTACTGAAACAAATCTCAAAGTATAACTCATCTAACCCACCATCTAAAAGTTAAATTCCAGTCAATATAATGATTGGAGTTCAAAATATAATCAGTATTTTTATACTTCATCATTACTAGGCCTTGTGAATTGATTGTATCCTTACAAGAGAATTTCTTAGGTAAATATATCTTTCAAACTTATTACTATATAAAAGTAACTTATGGTTAGGATTCAAACCTTCACACTAAAAGTCTTTCATGTAAACTTGAAGGTCAGTCTTCTGCAAACTTGAAAAAAAGCTGTAATTAGGCCAGAACTGTCAGGTTTTTCTAGTCTTGGGTAAGGCATACTGACAGAATCAAGTAATTGCAGGAAAGAATGCTGCTATTATCATCTTTAATAAGAGGCAGGCACATATTCTGCCAAAGGGGAAAAAAATCTGGTTTGACTAGGAAGAGAACAATGCAATTGAATGTTCTCAGGGAGAAAGGATGAGATAAGCCTCCTCTCTCAAGAACATAAAAGAATAGAAGCATATTCCAGCTAAGAATTACTTATTTTCCTTCATTTTAGCAATGATTTGAAGACTTCTTAAATTCTACAAGTCTAGTCACTATTCAAAGGTGGAATGCAAAATAAGGAATACCATGCTTTCTACCCCCAACTCCTCCTTAGGCAAGTCCACTCACTCAGAGGGGGTACAGAAAAGTGGATCCTAGATTGAGAGAGAAATAGCTCTATCAGAGAAAGCAGTGCAAGATCTCTAGGCCCCCAGTTTATGAGGGCAATTTTTGTACATAGTGCATTTTTCTGATGTTGCTCTTCACAGTGGGCAGGCAATATTACAGGCTAAAAGGCTGCAGAATGAGAAAACCTTTGAGAACAGAAATGGTACAATGGGTAGGGAGCTTGCCTTCTAAATGCTAACCTCAATTCAATCCCTGGCACCCCATATGGTCCCCTAAGCCTGAGAGGAGTGTTGAGCACAGAGCCAGGAGTAGCCCCTGAACATCCCAGGTGTGGCTGCCACCCTCTAAGAGAAAGGAAGGAAGGAAGGAAGGAAGGAAGGAAGGAAGGAAGGAAGGAAGGAAGGAAGGAAGGAAGGAAGGAAGGAAGGAGAAAGGAAAGGAAAGGAAAGGAAAGGAAAAAAAGAAAAGGAAAGGAAAGGAAAGAAAAGAAAAGAAAAGAAAAGAAAAGAAAAGAAAAGAAAAGAAAAAGAAAATTTAGCCATACCTATGGTTTCTCCTCAGACTCTCAAACATATTTAGAGAGGAATTAGAACAAAACTGCCACACCCCCAATTTCATTTCAGGAAGATGTTTCAGCAGAATTTCATTATTCATTGAGGATAAATAAATTTTCTTCCCCATTTGTCCAGGAGATGTTTGGAGTCAAGTGAAAATACTATAGAGATTGTGAGCAAGTCAAAGCCTGCTACAAGTTAGTAGTAGAGGAATTGTAATCGTACATATTGGGAAACTGGCCAAAAATTGTACTGATGGCCAACAATGTAAACTTGTCAAATCATGGAGTAATTAAACAAAAAGATGAGGTATACACTCATTTACCACCGAGTATCAGTTAATCTACTGAACTGCAGAGATCAGAATGAGAAATATTTTCTAAAGCAGCTAGGCTTTTACAGGATGAAATTTTCGGTATTGTAAAATCTGTGATGGCTTTTAATTTAGTGTTCTTAATTTAAAAACAATAAGAGGAAATTCTGATAGAAGATCTACAATGATACAGAAATTTGAAATGTGTGGCCCATGAAAGCAATTTTTATTTTCTATCACCATATTTACTGTTCATCATAGACAAGATTTTGCAATTAAACTTAAAAGCTTAATTATTCATGTTTCTCTGGAAACATGAGTCAAATCTGATTTAACGCACACTTGAGATGAAGAATGTACAGAATGTGTGAACTGAGACAAGATGTATCTTCACTGGAGATAAAACTTGCAGACCTAGAACTTATGAAAATAGTAGTGAATAGTTTTCCTTGTGAGAACCCTGCCAAATGGAGCAATTCAAAGCAAACTCAACTCAACTTGCTTCAGTTGGGCCATGGGGTAGGATCGATAAATTATTATTATGGATTGGCATTTTGGTAGAGAAGGCATGATGTAAAGAGTGATTTCTGTTTTGTCCTTTCTTGTGCCAGTATGGTAGCCGTTTCAAAACCACTATGAAACTATTTTCTTTGGAGGAATGGGTGCATTTGGGGCAATGACAGTGAATCTCAGGGCTTACTACTGGCTCTATGCTCAAGGACCAATCCTGGTGGTGCTCATATATTGTAGCAGGGATAGAAATGGGGTTGGTTATGTTCAAGGCTAGCATCTTAACCCCTGTACTCTCTCTGCAGCCTGATAAACTCTGTTAAATTGAGTAGGTGCTGTACAACATCATCTTTGAAGCACATCGTATCGGGATCCATCATATAGGGTTTCAAGGACCAAACACGTGTTTTATTGTAAGGGACATGGTAGTCCTTCAGCTCATATTAGAAGATTTGGACTGCAAAGTATCATGAAGAATCTTTTGAGATGAATGAACTTTGAATTCATTATCTTGATTGTAATGATAGTTTTATGAATGCGTAATTAAGTAAAACTTGATTTAAAATATACACCTTAATCATGTACTATTGTTAAAGTGTATTTCATAGCTTCTGTTCAACAAATCAATTAAAAGAAAAAGAAACCTCCAAGAACATTAAAACTGAATAGTTGTTCTAACAATCTGAAGTTGGTGTGTTGGGGGATAGAGTCGGGGGGTAGAGGGCAGATGTAAAGGTCCTTGAGATATGGTGGAAGGAAGTCACTGAACTCTGGTGGTGGGTGTGGAAAAATGTATGCATGAAATCATCATCAACAGTATTGTTAATCTCAGCTCAATAAAAATGGTGGAGGATGACTTTTTTTAAGGAAAAAGGAAAAAAAACTCAAGTAAGTATATTACTTTTCTGTTCAGTGAGCAACACTGATTTCAAATACTAAAAAGATAATGGAACATTTTCTGATTCATTTCCTTAGAGGAGGTTTATTTTGAAGCACTGCTTTCTTGGTGCTTTAGTGAACAAGACTGCAGAACTCAGGAGAAGGGATCAGTTTACAAGTAACATAAATCAGTTAGATATACTTCAGTGATTCCAATTTTCTCTTCTGAACCATTATAAAATAGATGTTACTATTATGGCTAAAATGGGTCTAGAGAAAACACTCTCTTGGCTTCATCTGGAACTCTTCAGTGTCTCCATAAATATACAATCTGTAGAATACTTAGATGGGAACTCACTCAGAAGAAAGTGTTCTAAACAGTTACAAAAGCAATGTATTAAATTCTCTGGACTGTAAGTCCTATGTAGTTTGCTTAACCTCTAGTGGTGACTGGCGAAAGGGAGACACTTGAACATTTGAGTTTATTTTAGATAGACAGGCCAAAAAGACAGGTCAGACTTGTCTAAAAGCTTATTGTTAGTTTATCACTGACATGTCTGTTACTTCTGGAAGTTGAGAAATGTATCTTGGGGAAAAGATTAAGAAGTCCACTCAACTACTTAAAAAATGTTTCTCATGAGTATAAATATAAAACTTTGTGACTTTTATTCAATCAAAAATTATATTACAGATTAAATGTACAAAAGGCTACAGTAGTGACAGTTAAAATGAAAAGTAATAATTTGATAGATGATAATATTTTTCTGAAATTAAAGGCCCTGTCCTGTGACTATGGTGCAAAGTGCAGTGAGGTCAGTTTTATTTTCTGTGCTTGTTATCAAGCCCAAAGCATTCCTTTGACAATGGACTACTCAGTATCTTAGTTCTACCATTTACAACCTGTGACATTGGGCAAGTTATCTACTTCCTATATTTTTGTATTTGAATGGAGTATCTTCCCATTAGCTGCCAATACAAAGAATATTTTATGTGCTTTCCATTTCCAGATTCTCACTCATTTCATTTTCATACTGTTATGAGGTGAGTGCTATTTTTCACAGAAAAATGAACCTAAATCTCAGAAACAGCAAGACGACCTAAGGTCACCTCATAGTAAATGACTGAAGTACAAGCCCAGAATAAATGGGTATGGTTAACCACCATACCATGCTGTTCTCCAAGACTATACCTTAAAAATAATAATTGCATTCATTAATATGGGCGATTGCCTGTGTACAAAGAATAGGGCCAAGTTCATAATAAAATTCCATAAATCTTGGATACAGTTTCTTTCTCATATCTCTCATTACTTTTTTTTTTTTGACAGTATAGTGATGTCCAAGAGATCTTCAACTGTTAAGAAGGAATAGCATACTAACTACATCTCATCTTTTCTCATCCATTTGGGCCAATTAAATTAGTGAAACACAGCACTATGGGTGCAACTTGATGTATGTTGTGGGTCCAGAAATATCACATTAATAAGGATAAGTTCATGTTCCCTTTCTTTGAGGATGGGGGACACCAAACACAGATATGCTCAGGGCTTATTCCTGGCTCATGCTCAGGGATCATTTCTGGAGGTGTTTGGGGAAACCATATAAGGTATGAATCCAGTTGCACCTTACCCACGGTACTATCTCTGTCCCTCACATTTCCCTTAAGACTCTGCCACTGAAACTTACTTATATAGCCATATCCAGTGAGATCTACTTGTGGCATGTATAGAAATCAATGTAGTAATCTTTTTTGTTTTGTTTGGGGGCCACACCTATTCCTGGCTCTGAACTCAGGGGTCACCTCTGACGGTGCTCAGGCAACCATACCTAGTGCCAGAGATGGGACAAGGTCAGCTGCAAACAATGCAAACGCCTTACCAGCTATATAACCTCTTTGGCCAAAATGTGTCAATCTTTAAAATAAAACTGGGGATACCTAAGGACAAATGCAGGGACTTGGTGCACACCCTCTTTCAGAGAGACCCACTTTATAAAATTGATCATGTGTTCACTTCTGAGGGAAGATGACAGCTCCGGCTGATGCAGAAACAGAATGTGCATCACTGATGGACAGTGAGTTGAACCTTTGTCTCCTTTCACTTGGCACCATATCTGGGCATTCACCCTTTTGTTTTATTGAGTCCTGAGGCCCTGAAAGGTAGGGAGAAATTACCCAGAGGCAAGCAGAACAGGATAACTGTAGTACTAACAGATTGATGAGAATAGTGGTGAACAAACGACAGAAACATCAAGTGAAAAATCCCACAACCGTGGTCACGATCAATGCGGCTGACACTGATGGAGAACTGCGGAGACCAGAGGGGCTGGGCCCTGCAGATGAGCACCTGTTGATTTCAGCTCCCATGTTTTCCCTCCTTTACGTTTAGATTTTACTTATCAGCATCAAGAATAAATTTGTTTTGCTGTGTGGGCGTCTGTGTTCATGTATGGGAGAGACAGAGAGATGGACAGGCAGAGACAGAGACAAAGGAGACTAAGACTGAAAACCGGGAGGCCTTTAGGGGCAATGATTAGTCACCCAACCTAGACCGTGAACTTAAAATCAGCGCAGAAACCGCTGGGCAGTTCCACGGACACCATCTCATCTCGGTGCCCTGTTTGTTGGTGCAGAAACCAGAAGGTCACATGTTGCAGTCACCTGCCAGGTAACGGGATTCAGGGACTTCGCAAGGAACTCCTAGGAGACCTCCTCTGGGAGACCCAAGAGAAAAGAGAGGGCAATAGCTTCTGGCTGGTCTCTGGGGCCTGCGTCTCCCCCGCCCTCTGGATGACCAGGACAGCGGAAGTGGGGCTCGCGCGGGGAGGGCGGAAAGGAATGCATGGATGAGCTGAACCACAGAGCTGCTAAGTGCGCGCTGTCCAGACGTGCGCGCGCCCCGCTGTTCTCCAGTGCGCCGCGGGAGGATAGGGTGGCTGCGGGTTTCTGCACGGAAACCCAGAGAGGCTCTGGAGCGAGAAACCTCAATCCGGCAAATGAGAGACCTACTTCTGCATTCTTTCTTGGAACCCGGCTCTTTAGGAGCACTGTCCACCCCAACCAACGCGGAGGGTGGGGAGAAGGGGGGGGGGGGAGGGAGAGAAGAGGCGGGGTCATCCTCGCCATCCAGATCTTTCGGCCTCCGGAAGTCGAAAGATCCACTGGGACGCTTGCTCCGAGAACCTGGAACTCCCAGGCCTCGGTCGCTGTCGCCAAGACGAACCGTGGTGAAAAACCGCTGGATGGGGTTTTGAAGAATGCACCTCTCGAGCCCCCACTCCGGAGATGGATGCTCCTTATCCTTTCAGGCGGGGCCAGGGAATAAGCACGCTTTCCCAAACCCTGATTTAGAAGGGAAAAAAACCTTGGCAGCGTCAGCCCTCGTCCCAGCAAAGCCTCCTCCCGCCCATCCATGCAACAGGCCCCAGAACGAGGGAGAGAAACGCAGTTTCCTTGTCTCAGATGACAACCTGTCAAAATGGCAGCTAAGGGTCAGCCAAGCCAGGGCCGCCTCCCAGACTCGGCCCGCCTTCTCCCACCCTCCCCACCCCGAGCCAGGCTGGCCGCGATCGGCTCCCAGCCCTGCACCCATACCTTTCCCGATGACTTCCAGCAACTCCTTTTCCTCCTGGCTCAGCTCGCCTTTCTTTATGTGAACCATTGCCCCCGCCAGCTTGAAGGATATTCCGCTTCTTGCAAACGGAAAGAGGCGCGAGTGTTGGGAATGCCAGCGGCCCGGGGAGCGAGTAAAAGACCCGGTTACAAAGTAGCCAAGCACGAGACTTATTCGAATTCTTGCCCTCCTCCCGTGGCAGGCGAGCAGCGGGCGAGCTCGGGCGAGCCGAGCGGGCGGTCTCTGCAGGCCCAGGGGCAAATCCCCGCCCCCCACTCATCATTGGTCCGGCGGGTGGGCGGAGCTGCCGGAGGCGGCCGCGAGCGCCTGTTATTGGAGCAGCCCGGGGAGGAAGATACCAACTGGAGAAGAACAAAGGGGAGAAATAAAATTGCTCTTACCCGCTTTTCACTCCTACTCGGTCCCGATGCGATTATTTGGGAACACAAAATATTTTAGTGATATTTGTAACATTTTAACTCCTCATCTAGAGGTTCGGGGTTCAGAGAGGATCCCAGCAGTCTCTAACCCCCCCATCATTGCTCCGAGAGTGACGCGGCCCGAGCCAGGGGCGGGCTCGGAGGCGGGGGGCGGTGCGGGAGGCGGGGCTGCGCCTGGCTCGGGGAGTCGATGTCAATGTGTCTGTCCTTCACTCCTCCATTGTCTGCAGCCGCCACTGCCGCCTCTGCTGCCACCGCCGCTGTCGGAATCACCGCAGCTCCCAGCCTCGCGCGTCGCCGCTACCTCCTCGGACAGGTGAGAACAGCCCGGATGGGACCGGGAGAGCCTTTAAGATGCTGCGAAAACCGCGACTGTCGCCCCCCTGTGGGCTTCCACCCCGGGCCGGGGCTGGTGGAGAGGAAGCATGTGCCCGCCGGGGCGGCTTTTCCTGCTTCTCTCTAGGAGATGCCTCCTCTGCATCTCACCGCGCTCACTTTCCCCCGCCGACCGCTGCCCCGGATGGGGCGATGCCTCCTTTCGACACATTTTGGTTTTTTTTTTTTTAATTTTTTTGGAACCCCTACCCAGGGCGCTACCCCGGGACCGTGAGCAGGCGGGGGCCGGCCCACGCGGTGGGAAGTGGGAAGTGGCGGGTGCACATCGTTTCCTGCGTGGCACAGCCAGATGCGACTCCGGAGCAGGCCGGGGCTGGAGCTCAAGGCTCGGGGTAGGGTGAAGGAGGGGAAAATAAATAAAGAAAAGAAATAGTAAATAACAAAACTCGCCAGGGCGTGCGAGATAAGCGCACGATGAGGTCGCCTCGCGGGAGGAGGTCGTTCTGTTCTGGTTAAAAAAAAAAAAAGCACAAAACCCAAAAAACCCTTAACGCCCGGAGACCCACAGCCCCAACCCATACCCTCACAGCCCTTGTCATCTCCTCGGGTCGCCGTGCAAGCTGCTGGAGCAAGCCGGATGCGATCGCCCCCCAGGGTGCCGCTTAAGGATGTTTGGGAGCAATGTACACTTTGCACTAATACTTGGTTTGGAAAAAAGAGGGCCTGGCGGGTGCGGGGAGAAAGGGCCTCTTCCCTGCGAGAGTTCGCGGTCTCTTTGTAACTCGGAGCTTGAGATTTATGGAAATAGGAAGGGGAGGCGAAGGGGCGGAGATTAAATCGGTGTCGCTGGCTATATATAGTCGTAGATTAGCCTCTTAATCCAGTCTTCGTTCGACGGTAATACGCAACCTCGAGCATTGCCCCCTAGATAGTTGACGGGGTTTGTGCACCCCCACCCCCATCCCCAGTGGCTCGGAAACCAGGCTTGGCTTTGCTAACGTGAAGTCAGTCATTCCTCCAGGGCGGGCATCTCCATTGTATTCCCAGGGACAGTGAAAGCTTCTTGGGAAATTAGTGTTTCCGTTGTTTCCCTTTGCACGACGACTGTTGACGTTTCTCCAAGACCCTTGTGCATCAAAGAGAAATGCTTGAATAATTATGTACAGGGTTTTTTGCTAGCTACCCGCCCCCACCACCACTCTTTCTCCCTACCATGCCATCTTTAAAGTAAAATGCTTTTTCCTCTTGCCATGTGCTTTCCTTTAAAAAAAAAACTTTCACTAACATTCTGAAATCCTCCATGTTCTTCATTATTTCCTACTTCGAACAAAATATCTTTCCCCAACTCCAACTATTTTCTAATGCTCCATCTGTAAAGCCCCAGACCGATTTGAACCAGAACAACTCAGATGAAAAAGATTTGAAATTAGTCATGTCAATGTATAACAAAGAAACTTTTGTTTGATAATACTTTAATAATGATGTGACTGTTCAAACAAGTAGGAAGGCTTTGGAATAGAATGGCCAATCTTTCTTGTAACACTTAGGATATTGTTGCAGTTGCAATTGATTTAAAGTGGAATTATGCAGAAGAAAGCCACAGGCCCCAAAGAAAGCTGCTACAGAGTACCATCCCATGAAATGCCTGATTCTTAACTATAGGGAATGTGTGGCAAAAATCATTGATACTTCATTGTCCGTGGCTTCATCTCGTGCCAGATTTGGGCCATGGTTACTTGAAGGTCACACCTGTTTGTGTTACTAAGGTTATCAGTTCCTCAAGGGTAGCAGCTTGCTACCTATTTTCTTGAAGCCCTATGACATTTAGTTGATATTTAGTTCCCTCTAAATACAATGTCAGTAAATTTCGTCAGCAGCATTTAAAGACAAAAGCAGACATCTGCTTAGAAATGCAGATAAATAATGTAATTTTAAATTCCTAGAAACATACATAATGGATAGTGCTCATCAGATGGATTACATTAACCGTTTTGTACAGTGTAAATATTTAATGTAGGAGTAAGATTAGCTAATGAGCCTGCCTTAGAATAGATGAAGGATTTTTTTTTAAATTCTAAGAATGTATTTACAAGCCAGAGAGATATAGCAACAGACTGAGCGCACGCTTTACATGCAGAAGGCCCTGATTAGGCCTTGGCACCCCATGGTTCCCAACCCCACCCAGCTTCAACAGCACTTGCTGCATGTGGCCCCAAAACTAAAAATTAGAATTTATTTGCATCAGAAAACTTTTGTTGATGATAAAATAGCTACTAGTTATTGGATATTTCTTCTGCTTTTCTTCCATATGCTTTATTTAGAAATGCTGTTACTGTAATCTAGAAATCAGTGAGTATTTCTATTTCTGTAAATAAGATGACAGGAACAAAAGAAGTAATACATGGTCCCACAGTTAAGAAGTATCACTGGAGCACTGTCCTCCTGTTTTTCATGGATTTGCTCGAGCGGGCACCAGTAACGTCTCCATTGTGAGACTTGTTTTACTGTTTTTGGCATATCGGATACGCCACAGGGAGCTTGCCAGGCTCTGCTGTGCGGGTGGGATGCTCTCGGTAGCTTGCTAGGTTCTCCGAGAGGGACAGCTGCATGCAAGGCAAAAGCCCTACCCCTGTGCTATCGCTCCAGCCCAAGAAGTATCAGGGACCCAAATTTGGGACTTAAATGTGTCTCCAAAACTTTTGAAGTAGTCTGCTTCTCTCTTACCTTACCTCTTTCCCCTAACTGCAGAACCAGTTCTCTCTATGCAGCTCTTAGAAAAGGGGGGAGCAGCACATTCTATAACTTCAATAGGTGTCATGTGGTTGAGCGTGTCAGAGGTAAAAAATATCTTTTCCTCCTTCCCCACTGCCTTCTCCACATCCTACAGCCGATGGTATTTATTTCTCTCATGCTTCCTGAGATGTATTCTATGTATTTATAACTTATGAACATATTTCCACTGTTGCAGAAACGGGAGCATACTAACATACTGTTCCACACGGTGTAATTGTATGGTCTTTCTCTCATGGCTTCATCTTAAAAAAAAAAAAATCCTAAAATGTCTGCGATTCTGTGTCTTGCTCTGCTAAAAGTGGGTCTGTGGGTATAGCCTGTGTCTCTCTCCATACCCATTCCAGTTTATTCAAGGACCCAGTTCAGTGAACATCGAGCACCCGGCAGCCACCCAAGTGTGAGACATATTCTTTCAAAGACAAAACTTACAACATTATCTCTGGCTTTCCCCTGACTCCAGAATAAAGGCACAGGACTGGCCTGGAAGGCTCCAGCCAGAGTCCCAGCCCCTCCTGATTTTCCAGTCAGCCAGCCCCTCCCACATAGGCTGCACTGAAGCACCTCACTGCCAGTTCCCTGATAGGCTGATTCATTTCCACCCTTTTGTGCCTTTTTTTTTTCTTTTTTGGGAATGACCTCCCTCCCCTCTTCACTGAGTCTCCTCCCTAGATCTGATGAGCTGTTCATTTTCAAGATACTACTGGCATGTAATCTGCTTAGTTTTCCTGGTCACTTCTCCAGAGCAGTGAGGGGAGTGTAGGTTCGCAAGCACATTTATTCATCCATGTTCACCACTATTAGCAAAAGGAGTAAGTAACATCTTTTGTCAGGAGGTAATATACAGTGATGAACATCTCTGAATTCTTCCTTGTATGCCTCTCAACCCTAGCACCTCCTCACCCAGTTTGACATCAGCACTTCTCCACATCTGTTCCCAAATTATTAGTAATCTGTTTAATCCCTTCATCTAGAGTAGAACTTCCAATTTTTCCAGCCTACTGCTTGCTTTCCCTGATGATTTATTCAATGCACCTCTGGAAATCTCCCTCCCTCACCCCCCCCCCACCGCCCCCGATGTTTTTTGTTTTTTTTTTGGAATGGGGGTGTTGAGCAGAGCATAGTTGTCACATGTGGTAATGTTCTAAAGTCATTCTCCAGCAGTGCTAGGGGGAGCATGTGGTGCCTGAGATTAAACCTGGGTCTTCTATATGCCAAGCATGTAACTGGCCCTCTCTAGCTAAAATCTGCCTTCTCCAAGTGAACAAAATACCCAAGGCATTAAAGCCCCCCTGGATGGTTCTAATACCCAGTGCCACTCTAGGGCATTGGAATAGTGCCCACTTTGTAAAACACTGTCCTACACCACAGCTTCTTGTTTGATTTTGTTTTGATTTTGCTTTTGGTCACACGCCACTGTGCTAAGGAGTTTCTCTTGGTCTTACATTCAGGGATCGCTCCTAGCATGTTTGGAGATCATCAGTGGTGCCTGGGATGGGACCCAGGTCTCCCAAGTGTAAGGTCAACACCTAACCTGCTGTATTTTTCTCTAGCCCCTGAACCCCAGCTTCTTGAACTGTGGGTCACAGCTCCAACATAGTGTGATTGAATGTGAGATTGTCCAAAAAAAAATAAAATAAAAATCTTAGAAACTTGTTTGAAGTGAAATTTCTTTATGACCCACCAGTAAATGTTT